CTAGATCATGTTTACAAATTAATTTCATCATGTTTCCAGATGTTCCTGCACTCAGTGCAATTTTTGTACTCCCATGCATTCTTACTAGTAATCATTATGTAATCATACTTGTAATCATTATAGTAATCATACTGTGCTTTACTGTTAAAAAGATGCTAATTATTCCACCGAATTCCTGAACAATGCAAGTTAATAAAAAAGCTACAGCTTGTAAAGTATTTTCCACTACTGCCCTTCTCCACTTACTCCTTACATTAATGTTGTTTTGCTTTCTCAAAAAGGACCTCAAATGCTAACACAGATGCTTAATTTTGCAACATGCATGGCATCTTTTTATTTAGAATAACTGTCACTGAAGTCTATAAGTTTAGGAACTTGAAAATTCCCAACTGACAAAAAATAAAGATAAGAAGATAGTAAGAAAATATGCTTATACAGAATTCTTTAAGGGACTGGGGTCTAAATAAATGGTTTACTATAAAGGAAATTGTGTATTTATTTCTTTAGTTATAATTTTAATGGCAAATGAACTGAAAGATTTTTCTGTTGTTTGAGAAGCTGTAGAGAAGCATTTGGGTAGGACCTAGAAGAGTTACACTCAGAATTCATGATGTTAAACACACGGAACCAAACAAATAATGCACATAAAGAACTGGATTGCACTGCCAAGAACAAATGCAACATGAGATGTCTTAGTTCTACTTATTGTTCTGTTCCCAAAGTCAAACAAATCCTCAATTATGGTAGTTCACAGAATTGCAGAATTCAAAGGCAGAGCTCAAACAAAAGGATACGTTCCTTTCTTAGATAGTACAGAAGTAATTCTTCAGGATCTGCCTGCCTCTCAATTACCTGCATCATAGGGAAAAAAAAAAAGAGTGATTATGTGTTAGGGAGTGGACATAACCTTCTCACAAGGATTAACTGACACCGAAATGCTGTGATTGTGCATTAAGGAGGTCTGTTTGTTCAGCAACAGGATCCTGACACTTGATCACAATCTGTAGATATATCAACAAATGTGTCAGGTAGTATTGGTGAAATATGTATTTAAAGTATTAGAAATCATGGCTTATTCAGAAAAATGAGAAGGAAAAGAGGCTAAGTACACACTGGGTGGAAAAGAATAGACCCCCTCTTTTTACTAGACCCTTTGTCGACTCATAGCAGCATGAATCAGAAATCCCTTAGTTTTAAAGCCATGAATTTGTGTGTATGATACTATACTAACCCAGAAAGCATGAAAACATATTTTAAGACCTATCAATGCAGAATGAAGAGAGATCTCACTTCAGGCTTCTCTCAACAGTTTTCCTATATCAGCAGCATGTCCCAGTTTACCAGCTTCAGCTAGTTCAGGAACACTGTTCAGTGGAATTCAGAAATTACTAAAAGCACTACAGTAACCTCTCACCTTCACCAAAGAAGGGAACAACCAGCATAGGAAAAGGAAATGTTCTGAGCTTCAAAAATATTTTCACCTAAGATAAAGGGATGGTAATAACATAGGCTATTCAGGATCATATCTTTTTCAACTGGTTAAATAGCAACAAGTAATATGTGAAACTTCTATAGAAAATATAAAAGAGTTCAACAATTCAGTTTTGGTGTCTTTTTCCCCGCAAAAAGAATGCATTTAAGCATTGTTGGCACATACAAAGAGATTTTTAAAAAGACAAAAATTTGAACCACTTTTCCACAATCCACCTGAAACCTTTATATATTTATTTATTTTTATGCCAGTACTCTTGCTCGAGAATATAAAAATATTGACCAAACAAGAGAAAAATCTATGGCAACTTAAAAAAAACAAAAAAAACCAAAACAACAACAACAACAACAAAACAAACAAAAAACCCACATAGTAGTCAAATTATTTTATTCCAGCTTTTAATATATATTGGGTGATATCTTTTTTAATAGGAACTCACTTTTTATTAAACTGGAAAATCAGAAAAGATGACAATATATTTGAAAATGAAATGTGAGCTTTTGACATTAAGAACAGAAAAAGCAACCTCTTATATTCTTTTTGTAAATTTCTGAAATTATATTAGCAAACAGCATATCCTTTGTACTAGCGGTGTTCGCTCCAATTATCAACATGAGGAGTATGTTACTGTAAGGTTTTAGTAAATAATAACTAGTTATAATTCTAAAAATTCCAGGTAATGAAGTATAAAGTCACTAATGCAACAAATAGACTGCCTAATTTTTATGAGTGCACAGAAAATACTGAGCTAATGTAAGCAAAAATAACAGTTACAGAGATGAGATCTTGAAATTTCTCTCAGATTAATTAATGCTCAAGTTTGTTTCCTTACAGTGGCAATTTAAAAATTCTCAGCTTTGAATTGAAACCATAAAGAAATCCAACTACCCAGTTCACAGCAAAGACAGGAAAAGCCCACAAACTCCTTCAGGAGAAAACAGGATGCTGTAAGGAAGATCAAATCCACAAGAAGCTTACCTATGAATGAAATATTGCTCCAGAATAACAGCTTTGCAGTATAAAATAAACAGTAAATATTGCAGCAATTTTCCAAAGGGAAAAAAACAGCCTTTAAAAACTTACCTTCTTGCCATTCACAAAAAAGACAAGGTCATCTGGTTGTTTGTCATGGCAAGCCATGCTGCTGCATTAATATCTGAAAAATGAAGTTTTATATACTGTGAGAAATTAATGAAATACTACATGCTCCTCATCTAGGTCATATGACTCTGACTCAAGTCAACTAAACTTGCTCTATGTCCCACAGAAGTTATTTTCAGACTGAGCATCAAATCAAGTAGATAAGGGAGGAGTCAGCGTAAGCTATGCACTTTCACAGCAAGTAATGCATTTTAAGGTGCTGGCTCACCAGACTTTCTACTTGCGCTCTGCACAATAACTCTTCTCTGATGAGCAATAATTTGAAAAGAATAAGATCCCCTCTAACTCTAACTTTGCAACCTAAGCGGTAAGCTATCTGTTGGAGGGGATTCCTGGGTTTGAACTATAACTTGGAGGCCTCTTTTTAATGCTCTGAACTTTAGATTAGGTAGGAACGCCTAAAGCTAAAACCTGTGCTTCTCATTTAGTATATCACTGATGGGCGTTATAGCTACTGTCTTCCTATAACCAGGTTTCAACAGTCAGGATTACTACTGCATAAACTTCAAAATTTCCTACTGATTATCTATATGCCACTCCAACTCAATAGCCTGACTGCTGCAGTTGACACGAGTTGATCACACCCTATATGATATACCATATGTGCTAAGTTCATAGAGAAAGATACTCCAAATCCTGATCTGGTATTCTAGTGTCTTATCTATTTACTCCAGATTCACATTTAGTAAACTAGGTCATTAATCTTAAAATGCTTTATTACAGCTAGCTTTTTTTTTTTTTTTAATTGAGAATTTATGTGCATGACTTTTTTAAATGTACATATCACTTTTTTTATATTATACGGCAAAAGCGTCTCTCATTTAGAAACAGTTTAGTATTGTAAGACAAAGTAGTCAGTTCCCCACTTTTTTTCCCATTAGAAGGAAATCATTCTCAGCAGAGCTACGTGCTGATTGTTTTAGCCCCTCAAGTATGTCATGAGAATTACGAACAACGAAAAAGTGAAGTCATAAGGTACTGCAGGCAAAAGCCCTATTGAATTCTGCCAAATGCAGCACTACTGTGGTATTCCTAATGTGTTGCACATACCACATGCAGGATTAAAAGACGAGAAATAAGCAGACGTAATACTGGACTTTGGCTATGCAATATCTACATTTTAGAGCAACAGACTCCAAATCAGAATTTAGTACCTATATGTTAGGTGCTTAAGATTCTCCAGCCATAGCTTGGGAGTGAGTGAAGATAGATATTTACAGAAATAATTCTCTACCACAAAAACAAGAAAAAAGTTTCTAACAGCCATTTCCAGTTGGGGTGTTTCTGCACAACATATATTAATGTGTCGACAGCCATCCAATGCACCATGCCTTTGGAGACCTAACGCTTTGCTTGCGCAGCTCCTTGAGTCTGCAAATCTTTAATACTAAAAACATAACAAGAGCACAGAAAATACCCACCTCCTCAACACTCTTCTGTTCAAAAAAAAATTCATTTCACAATTTCCCTCATAGGCATAGCGTCAACAAAAGGATGTTTAATAGCTGATATTTCTAGCTTTCATGCAGTTTTTCAAAATCTTAAAGCCAAAAGATTAGTATCTTTCTATTAAAAACAAACATCCACAAAACATGTTTAGCACATAGCTGGATTTCACTGAGACAAATAGAAAACGGTGTCACTTGTAAAGAGGCAGGAAGGAATCTTTGCTAATAGTAGCTGAGAAATACTGATAAGCAGATGTGATCTGTACTGCAGATAGCAAAGCATAGGACTAGAACACAATGAATCCCAAGTGTATAAACAGCTCAGCATGGCAGGTGGGGTGACATCATTGTGTGTAAGAGTTGGGCCACAATTTGTACAATAATTGACTTGTCTGGAATTTACCAGCATGCATTATGAAAAATAGGTACATAGGAGAGCCACAGACAGTGACCTTTCCACAATACATTGATTTCATATGCTCTCTATTTCAGCATATCCTGGGATTTACCCTTAGTTTGGAGCTATTACTGACACATGGAGTTGCAAATTGTCACTAACAAGCCCACACAGCAAAAGATCTCTGCAAACAGAAAGGCCAATAATGTCAGCAGCACATACATTCATTTATTTTTTACTTTTCTTAACATATATAAGACCCAAAGCAATACAATGAAAATGAAGAAAAAGAAGTTAAAAAACAAGAAGGCTTCAGCTGCCTAACCCACACTTCTAGTGTCCTTTCAGATGACCTACTATAAGCATTTTGGTCTCCAGTTACAATGTCATTTCTTTTAACTGCTCTCCTATTTCTCTGCTGTCTTATCATGCCTAAAATAGCACTCAATCCCCAAGTTTAAGCAGACGAATTTCACCCACTCAGAGACCACAGAGTCACAAATTGCAGTAAATATTTATATTTTAATAGGCAAAACAAAAGAAGTCCAACCAGCTATCTTGGTTTCCCTCACAAATACAATACCAGGTTATAAAAGGAAAGAAGAGAAAATAGTTGGTGGTAAACTAAGAAGTGAAATGAGAGACCACAAACCAATGTGTGAAACAATTAGAGCCACTAATTTTCATCATAAACAGCAGTCAGGAACAAATGATGCAGAGGTTCACAGAAATCACATGTTCAACGTGTGACTGTTCGACTTCATGAAATAACATGTCGAGGGACACGGGTTAGTGAGAGCTATTGGTGATGGGTACATGGTTGGACTGCGTGATCTTGCGAGTCTTTTCCAACCTTGGTGATTCTATGATTCTATGAATCTAGTACAATTTTTTCAAGTGTTACTTTCTGAAACATACATACATACACTGAAAACGTAATGATTTCTCTGTTATGATGCATCTTACATCAAAGCCCTAAATCCCAATGCCAGAGACTTTTGGTTATCTGTGGGTACGTGTGAATACATTCAGAATTGAAATTTCCACTTTGCACTTTAACAAGAAGAAAGGCTGAAGTTTTCCATGAGCTCAATTCTATGGATTCTAACGCTGAAATGAGAAAACGGTGACTGGAGCTTCCATAATATATTCATTTCAATATATTCTATACAATTTCTTGAACTTGTCTTATATTACAAATAAATACATTCTTCAAATTTATTATCACCAGAATTTGTTACCATTTTAAACAGTGCTGCTTTATATTTTCCTGTCTCCAGCTGCTACTACTTGTCTGCTGCCTAGGCAGCATCAGATGATCAATATTTGCAGATATCTTTTGCAGTTTTTAAACTGTTTTCTGTTATTTTGTTTTTGTCTTTTTTATCACGGTAATGCTCAAGAGCGAAAGAAAAGCTCTTAACTTACTCTCACGACTCAGTACAGCGCAGAGAACAGGATTAAGCACTGTTTAAGAATCCTTTCCAGAGACAGGTTCATCCAGGCCTCTATTTAAAAGTACACTGAACTCCACATGAATTTTCCCACTAAATTCAGAGGCTTTTGAACTGTTCCACGACAAAAAGAAAGCCTTAATGGGAAACTACATCTAAGTGACTCTTCCAGTTTTGAAGACAAAATCAATGTCCTATCTGTATAGGTCATACCAATTTGCCTGGCATAGCAAAAGAAAATCATACTACTAGTTCCGCGTATATTCTTAACACAAAGATGTCTGTACCAAGACAAATCTAAAATCACTTTACTACAAATCACTTGCTATCAGAAAGATATTTAATTTAATAAACAAAGTTCCAATTTTTCAACCAAGATGTCTGCAAAGACCTGCACTGCATGACATGTGGACTAAGTATGTTTGGAGATGTATTTCTAATAATTAAATGCTATAACTCGAGTGGTGTAGTAAGTATACCAGACCAAAGATGAAGACTGACAGAAGAGTAATGTGCTTTTTTTTAAATGTATATATGCTTCTATTCTGAAAATGCGAAAATACTTTATTTTATGTGAGTTGATTAGTGTGCTTTGGAGCAGGAAATCAATAGTTGGAATTCTGTTCAGGTCTGATGCACTCTGGCCCAAGGAGTGAAGAAAGCAGATTCATCATTTGTCATCTAAGAAAACAAACAAGATATGAAAAGAATTACATGTTAATATTATTTGACTGACAAACTCTGAATACTGTCCTTATCAGGTGCCTTTAAGTTGCCCAGCAGGGTGTTCCACAGGAGATACCTAGAGATGATGTCTAGAAGGAAGGTAAAACTGAGCTCAGGATGAAAAAGGGACAGAGAAGCATAGCTTCTGCATTTGTGGACCTCACCTCCTTCAAATTCTTGTAATGATAGCAAGTCCATATACCTACTGATCTGGGGGTCAGTGACATCTACCACAACCAAAGAAAAGTAATTTGTAAGCGAGAGCTCATAAGTTTCTGCGCCAAAGCCGCAAAGGTTTGGGACACAGCCTGGATGTGCCAAAGCATAGACTGGCCAGAACTTTGCTTCACAGATTTTATAGACTAAATCTAAATCTAAGTAGAAAAAGAATGGCCACAGCAGAGGGAATAAGATAACAGTGAACAGCTGCAGAAAACAGTGAATCTGAAGGGTTAGAATTATTGAAAGTGTATCACTTCATTTGTTTTTCTTCTGTATTCTTTTGTTAGCTCTCTTTTCTCCAACAGAGCTCTGGACATAGCAAGGAGTACCACAAAGAAGTAACAGTGCCAGAGTGAAGTTGGTGGGAAACTTCGAAGGAGGATGGAACTGCTCAGAGACTGATCTACTATTTAGCACACACTGGTAATACAAGTTATTTAAGGAACGGCTATGGAATTTGCCATGCAGAAGAAAAGAGGAGGCTTCAGGAAGAGAAGGGGAAAAAAAAAATGTTTTAAAGGGAAAGAAAGATTATTCAAAATCAGATAATTCCAGAACAATGCTTGAAATGAATTTGCTGGAATAACTTAGTTGTGTGGGACCTGTTACCAGATATTTCAGTTTTGAAGGAGCCTTCAGTGGAAAGGGCTCTATGGTATTGCTCTATATAACGCATTCCCAGCTGGAACATCATTAGGCACCTCACCACTCAGGGATGCCAAAAGCTTATTTTGTTACATTTACTCAGACATAATTAAACAGATCACCCCCCCACCTACCTATTACCATCTTCGTAAAGTCATCTGTGCAGGCTGCTCGTATTTGTTCAGCAGTCAGAGGGCTGTTCAGGGCAAAGGTCTTTTTTAGTCCTCTTTCATTCCTCACACGAGTTATTGCATCCCTCAATGCGAAGAACACAGAGCATCCCAAGAAAAGTCCTGCCTCACCTAACCCCTGGGAAAATAAAGGTTGAGCAAATGAGAAATACATGTCACAGCAATATCAATTGAAAAGCTCAGATGATAGCGACTCAAAGCACTTCATTCTTTAGTATGCTTTTCTTCAATTTATTATAAGCAGACTTAGGTGATGTCAAGTCTGCTGCTGCTGGATGCTTCCAGGGACCTAAAAAGGTTGGCTTCAGATACTGGCTTCTGATTTTAAAATATTTTTGCCTTCTTGCTGAATGGAAATTTATAATAAGTGACAGATTAAATTAAAGCACTCTCAATCCAGTAGCAGGAACAGATTAGAAAAAAGTCAGAACTCACACTAATTCACCATAGAAAAGGAAACACCTTAGTGGTCTTTACATTCTCTTACTGATTCAGACATGAGTCACATTTGTTCCTTATCGCAAAAGTAGGTAAAATCTACGTTTCCTCTGGATACTTTCTTCTGAAATACTGAATATCTTAACCTGAGTTTGACTGAGATATTGCAATTGCAATCTGCTTGCTACGATTAGAGAAACAAACGTCTTCCCCAAACACGCTGCATGAAGACAGAATCACACTTCCTTAAGACAGTGAATTCTTAGGGTAATTATAGATGTTCACAGGAAAGGGTAAAAAGTGTTTGAAGAGGGATACTAGCATCAGTTTTATAGAACCAACTATGTAACTACATAACGTAGACAATATTAAAAAAATAAATCTAATTATGTGTCACAAAAACAGCTTTAAATAATTTTAAAGGACTTACTTGTTCTTTAATAACTTTTACTTTAAAAACATGTTTCCTACTCCTGTCATGCTATTCTACTGAATTCTAAAAGCATAACTAATATCTGAAACAGCTGAAATTTTGCACAATTGCCTTCATCTTGATATGCTGTTACTACTTGCAACTGACAAGAATATTTACCGGTGTAAATTGAAGCAATGATTCTACCAGTTAAATAGTTCAGCTTATCTCATATATAAGTACACATACACATTCCTATATCTCATTGCTTAACACAATGCACATACTCTCATAGTCATTATCATTCTCTATTAATTTCTTGATTATTTTCATTCTAACCCATCAGTCTATCACTGATGTAAAAATTTTAAATTTACGTTGCAACTTCTGTGAACAGCTTGTTAACAAAACCCTATGATTACTACTTGTAAGCCATGAAAGCTATGCTGAGAAAAGTTCTGGCTGCGACTTGCCAACCAATTCCAAATCCAATAAACAAACAATCCACCCTTCAAATCAGTATCTCTCCAATTTACAGATAAGGGCATCATAGGGGAACCATGTCAAACCTTGCAGAAATCCAGGTAGATGGCATCAGTTGCCTTCCCTTTGTCCACCAATGCCATCACTCCATCATAGAAGATCACTACATAGGTCAAGAATGACCTTATGTTGGTAATCTTGCCTGTCTCAGATTACCTGACTTGTACCTCATGTGCTTCAACACGTCTTCCAGGAGGATCTGTTGCATGATCTTCCCAGAAACTGAGGTGAGACTCACCAGCCTGTAGTTCCCTGAGTTCTCCTTCCTCCCTTTCTTATAAATGGGAGTGATTGCTTCCTGTTTTCTAGTCATCGGTGACTTCACCTAACAGCTGTGAATTTTCAAGTATGATGAAGAGAGGTTTGGCAATCATACAAGCCAGCTCTCTTAGGATCCTGGAACACACGTCATCCAACCTCATATCTTGCATATATAGACATACGTTTCTGTATTTATTTCTCTGATTGTCCTGAGATCTAAGATGATTTGCTTACCTTGGATGAATAGATGGCATACGGATTTTGGGAAGATGACAGCAGGGAAACATTAAACTGTTCTGGAATATCACAAACAGCAGGGATCTTATACTGATCTGGACCCCGAGTACGCAGGACTCCTTCTGGAGAGTACTTCAATTCTTCCATTGTGTAAAGTCCAATGCCTTGAACAAAGGCACCTTCAATCTTAAAATAAGAAAAGACATAATATTTGTGTACTCATGTTTGTTAAGATGGGTAAAACTGTAGCAAGAACTGATTTGTATCTCCGGCTCTTAGAAGATCAATTTATTTCCTGTTTGCCTAAGGGGATTTTTCAACATTTTGTGGCTATCATGATGGGAAAAGCTTTCATACTTTTCTCTCACATCAGAGACAAGTGCATTTATGATGAATGATGAAGTCTGTGGACCAGCCTGCAATGAAGAAAGGTGTTTCTCTGTTAACAGGTAGGAAGGTAGATTAAACAACATGAGAAATCAGAGAATGCAGGTCACAAACAAGATTTAAGTCCGGCAGACAGTGAGCAAATATACATGAAGGAAGTTCTACAGGTTGACATTAGAGATCATGGGTAAAATCCAGGCCTCACTGACACAAATGGGAAAAGACTGCAAGTAAAGAACTTAGTAATATCATATATGACATATTAATGTTTTCTAAATTAATAGAGAAATATTCATTTCAGATAAGACTATCAGCTTAACAGAAATCAGACAGCAGGAAACTCTTGGAACATACCTGTCCTATATCCACAGCTGGATTTATGCTGCATCCAATGTCCATAACTATGTCTGTTCTGAGGTTCTGTTAATAAAATTCAGTGTCATATCACTGATAGAGATGGATAGGGTAGAGGCATAAGAACACAATATGGGTTAGAGTTGGTATTCAGTGGAACAATATATGCTGAAATGCATGTTCTTCCACACGTACACAATATCAAAGTAATTCCCCATACCTCATTACAAGCAAAATGAGCTTGTCTCAGCTCTAATGGAATTTTAGCCAGAGCTAGCCATCACAGACCTTTTCCATTTACACGAGGAAATAAGTACATATAGTGGGCATATGATCAGTAGTCTACAACACCTACCTGTATATTTAATTTTGCTGTAATTTGTTTGCTGACTAACGGGAAAGGACAGGCAGAGAATATGCCAGATGTCCGCCATAATCCAAAAGTGAACTGGTATGACATTGATACAGATTTGCCAGATGTGCAGTCAAGACTGCACAGATATCATTCTGCACTCCTCCAATTTGCATTCACTCTACGAATACACTTATTATCAAGTGAAAACAGGTGATTTATTCATGCAAAGCCCGATAAGCTGTTGGAATGTTGAGTGACAAAAAAAGTCTAGAGGAAGATCATCCACATTATTTACAAAATTAACATGATGCTCAGTTATTACCTTGTGATCTCCCGTTAAACAGTTAATTTCAACCTCTGAACAAGCAGTTCCATAAAGAAAGTACGTGAATGGCTGTCCTTCCCCTTTCTCCCAGTCCATATTTTCATCATAGCCTCTGATGTAAGAAAAAGCTCACAATGAATAATCAATGTTTGTATCATGAAAAAGCACACAAGCACAAAAGTTTGAAAATACTTCATGTGAAATCTAAAATAACAAGTGTACTTGGTTGCTGATTCCAGATGTGTGTCCTAGAGCTGCCATATATTTTTTTCCCTTTTGTAAAATGCAGTGTAATCATGTTTAAGGTGAAAAATGTAAAGAACATATAGCACAACTTATAGTATATGGTAATACAGCTTTCAGTAAATAAACTGTATCCTGCTTTGTGTATTTGCCATTATGGGCAGCAGTCACTTTCTCAGTGTTTCCTGATTTTCTAATGGAAGAATTAAGGAGCAAGTACAAGTTGAAATATTCTCTTGATGCTTTCTAGAGAATCTGCACAGAGCCAGCTACAAATTAGCTCCTGAACATTATAATCCAACCTCCTCACATATCAAAGACTTACATAAAATATAAGCTGAGCCATTAAGAACAGTTGGACAGGGTCTCACACCCACTGAATTGGCATCGTCAGAAATCAGTCCTGGTGTTTAAGACCATGCATTTTAAAGGAACAAAAATACTTCACCTGAAGTAGCCAGTAGCTGAAAGACTCACACTTTGTTTAAAGGCTTCTTTAATCTGTAAAATACAGCGAGTTTTGTTGTAAGCCAAGGAACCAGTAAGGAAGGAATGCAGCATGCATCCATTTACTTAAAAAGAAACTATAAGCATGTTTAGCTGCACATGGTGCCTTAGCACTCCACCACACTTGAAGGAGTAACCTGAACTCTTGGTAATACAATAGGGAATGGACCTGCAAACAGCAGTGTTCTTAAAAAAACCTTTACTGCTGGTAACACCAGAGTCAGAAAGGGTCCTGCTTGACTTTCCTGTTCAGATTCAATAGAAATGAGTCCCTCTTTGTCAGCTGAATAGATCTGGTTGATACATCCCTGAGACAAAAGATCTGCATGACGTATCAGCATAAAAATGACAGTTAACAAGAGAAATGCTCCCTGCACTGATCTTCAGCCAGTGGCGTAAAAATGGATATAACACCTTATATTTCATTTCAGCGACATTCACGTCAGAAGTATGTGATTCACAAGTCAGAAGTTTTGGGTTTTTTAATATATTAAATTTACTTTCTCTGCAAGTCATAAAATTGTTTCTCTGCATGGTTTAACAGTATTTATTAGGTTAGCTATTGCTGCTACTGCTTTAGGTGTGTCTGAATTATCCACATGGATTTGGCACTAGATTTTATTTTTTTTGCATAGATAGCTGTCAGTTATCAAGTTACCACATGTATCCCAACATTAATTGCTGTTGCCAAAAATTAATACTGACAAGATAATACTTTTATTTTTTGTAGTTACTACAGTATTTAATCCCATAAGAAGAAACACCCTAGTGTACTAATCTCTAAATGTCTCAGTGTAGGGATTGTCATTGCCATCAGGCTGTAGATAACAAGTAATATTGGGTCATCAGAAATAACATGCTTTCCTTTAACATAACAACACAGCCAGGTTCGCAGACGTATCTTCATGGAAATAGCTGATGTAGCAGAAGCAATTTAATTAAGACAATGCCTTGCCTAAAATTCTGTTGCTACTTCAAGTGGACACCAGATACAGGCCATTAATATGAACAGCTTTAGCATTAATTCTGTACTAACTTACAGCAAATGTAACTAATATTATAATGAATTACATATCAGAGCAATAGAAGCAAGTATTCTTGCTCTTTTTTTTTTTTTTTTGCAGTTCTGTAATACACCACACATGGCAGATATAAGTATGAGGTTGAGAAGGTTTCCATTTATTTGTGAATTTGTGATTACTGAAAAATAAAGAACAGCCTTGTAGAAAAACAGGTATACGTACACATACACCTTGAAAATCTTCTTGCAACAGCCTGTTTGAGAGTAAGTTGAGGACAGTCCCACTACTGCACAAGCTAACATTTTATCTGAATAAAAAACTCAAGAACCTCCAAATGTGACTCCACAGATAGCTTTCCTTCCTTTCCAACCCAGATATGATCTAGAGATTATTTTGCATGCACCCAAAGCACCTACATTCCAAATATTCTGTGAATCAACATGTTCTAAAGCTTTTAGCTTTAGGATTATCAGGCTTAAAAGACTAACAGATGACAAAACGTGTCACAGGTTCTGCAAGCACACAAACACACTTAGTAGGTTTCACATCTCTTACCCAATCGTTCCAGTTGCCTTTTGGGTTCTTGTTAATGATAGGCTGCAGGCGTTTCAGAAGAGTTTGGCAAGCATCCTGGTTACGGAGAGAAATCAGAAGAAAGCAATGCAAGATTAACAAACATAAATTTGGCAAATAAAGTACTACTCAAGATACATTTACTCAAGATACACTGTAGTTAGTGCCTCATTAATATGTCCTTTATTGTAATTTAGAAAAAGCATGGAAGGAGTTAACTGCATATGCACAAACCTTATAAAGGCTTGATTTAAAAGGGCAGGAATTGTTACTAATAAGTAGATAAAAAACAGGAATAAAATACAGAATGAGTATAGGACTAGTTTGCTTCTGTCTGAAGAGGCGAGGGTTTGGTCAAATGTAAGCTTTCTGAAAAAAAGCTCAGATCATATTCTGAAATTTCATAAGCACCATTGCTGGGTTACTATCAACAATTAATATTTTTTTCTTGGCAATCCTTAGTGGTGCTACTAATAACCTCAAATAATTTCCATGGAGTCACAACACCAAAAGTTTTGCAGACATTAGATACCATGAGGGACAGTGTGTTTTGTTAAGCTAAATACTTTACCTTCACAGCCATGCCATTGACATCTGTCCCTGCAGATCCTGCTGAAGCACACGCATTAGGAACAGTTGTTGTGCTTGTTTCACAGAAGTGAATGTATGACATTGGGATGTTTAATTCCCGACTAGCAACCTGTTTCAGGAAGCAGAACATGTTCTTCATTTCAGAAACATTCCAAACATTTCAACTGTTCCCCAATACTTGCTAGAAGTCTGTACTACTAGGAAAGATACTGTTTTAGCAAGTCTTTTTCTAACCTCCAGATAATCATTCTGCTGAGTTTGTGAGCACAAAGAGACAGCACAGAAGAATAATGTTTTAGCTGCACTGAAACTCTGGATTGAGGTTCTGAAGTCCAACATTCAGATCCTGATTTTGCTGATTATGACAGAGGACAAATTATGCATGCCCAGATCCCAAGCTTTCATTAGCTCACTAATTATCTTTAGAGATTATGTCTCAATTATTCCAATTATCCAGTAAACAAAGATGATGGCAATATCATCTCTTTGGACAGTACACTTATGTGATTACTGACTTCTTTTGTAGTAGAATAGGGATTATAGAACCATCTCCTAAAGATCAAAAGATCTTATTTCTAATGAGTCTCCTCACATATCACTGGAAAAATAATAAACATATTTTCTGTCTTTTTGTTGTCCCTATCACCTTTGCTTCCCAACTCTATCAATTCAAAGCAGCAAGAACAATGATAACGAAGAAACGGTTAATCTGGCACACTAAATAAGCAAGAAGAAAAATTTCCCATTGTTTATTTGTAACAGGCAAAATGTACGTTAATATTTGGATCATTTATTACCTGGATCATTTTTGTATGAATACCCTGTCCCAATTCAATTCCACCATGTGTCAAAAGCACAGATCCATCCGTATAAATATGAACCAGAGCAGCAGCCTAAAAGAAAAGTGAATGAATAAATAAATAAAGATCATTTAAGTGAGAAATTGTTATATATGTTGATGGATCAAAAAAACGAAAGGAGTTTTCTGCCTAATGTTTTTGAACAGGTGACATTTTGAATTCTAGTCCCTTAACAAGCTTCAAAAGAAAATGACACAAATCCTTGGAGGTCTGTTTTTTGCTGCTGTTAGATCTTGAAATATAGCCAGACTTAGAAATAGACTCTCAATAGCTTCAAAAAAAGCTGTAAGAACCTCCATCATTATCTAACTGATATCTGAGTGTCTTTGGACTCACGAGTTTTGAAAGGCTGTCAGTTCTAGACACAGTAGGAAGGCTCTGAATGAGATATTCCTCATGTAATCAGTGGGAAGTAGGTGCTGTAGACTACAGACGTTGTGTATAGAGACAGGCCAATTCGATCTGATTCAATGAAGTCAAATGACTAATTTTCAACTTCTAAAATGTTATTCATTCTTCAAATTATTGAACACCAATGTAAAACAAACATACTGACTAAAAATACTGCTGTTCTCCTTTTCATCCTTAAATTTACTCTTTGATGACTTCAAAGGGTTAAGCCTAAGAAAAACCTCTCATATTAACCCATGGTCAGAAAGAGTAAGTCCAGAACTATTTCTAAAATTGACAACTTATCCAATTACACTTTGCAATCATTCTTAAAATACTCTTAATTGCTCCCTTTTCTATATCACATCCTAAGAGACAAAGCTGACTTCTAAATAGGAAGTCTATGCTGCCTGGGTACTGAAGATCAAACAACTGTGATCCCAACTTGCAGATAACTGGAACCTAATCTCCCAGCAACAACTCTTAGAAGAAAGATAACTTACCAGAAGTTGAAAGATGACTTTTCCTTTATTGTTATAAGGTAACTATAATTGTCTACAAACGAAAAATTCAGCTTGTTTATTCTTTAAAAAAAACTAACCTGAGAAAGGTAACGTGAGCCTAGTCCAAATGGAAACTTCATTGGAACAATGGCAATGCCTTTTTTCTTCCAGTAATTTTGTTTGTTAAATTCCTCGATAGCCGTTTTCCTACTGTAGTATGCAGATTTCTCCAAACATTCATTCCAACAACGTACTAAGTTTTGTGGATCAAGTTTTTGTTTGAAGTGTGTTTGCTCATCCTCCTTATACATATTTATTTCCCTAACCTGAAATAATAAAATTAGCAGACACCACAATCACATTAAAGGTAGACTGACCATATGGGAGAACCAGTAGACAACTAGTCTAGTGTATTATGGGTTTTTTTTATGAGCAATTACCATTTTCGTTCAGTTGTAAAGAGCATGCTATTCTTCAATAATCAGACACCGTTAAAAAGAAACAATTACAGTACAAATCATGCTTGACATTAAAAAGATTTGTTCAAACATTTGAGCTAATCCAAATAATTTTAACTTAATAGATTTCATTTCATAAGAGATGTCTTTGTATTCTCACCTTTTCTGGTGATAAACCTGTTTTCTCTGCAACTCCTGTTATCCAAGTTTCTGTCACCAGTCCTGACTGAGGAAAACCAAACCCTCGAAATGCTGTGTTTGATGGCAAGTTTGTTTTGCAAGCAGAAGCCCAGCACCTCAAGTTGGGAATCTTATACACATTGTCCATTTTTAATAAGGACACTTCTGCTACCTGAAGTAGGGAACAAACAAGGAGAGTTAGATTTCAGAACAGTAATTCTTTCAGATTCACATTTAAATATTTTTCTTCTCATAGAAAGACCTTCAGTTTTCTGACAATCATTAATCATTAAGCACACACACAAATATTTTCAGTCATTTCTCAAGCAACATATTAGATTTCAGTTGTTTTCACCTGCTATTCACAGAAAACAGATGTTACTAGTTGTTCAGTCATTAGATAAAGATATAATGGATTATTCATTTTAAGATTGGTTTTGCTCCTGCTTCATTCTCCTGCAGAATTAAAAGGAGAATGAGATTGAAAGCAACAGAAGCTGTGAAAGGAACTGATGAAAGAATTCTGAATTATCACATCCTATCAAAATTCACAGTTAAGGTTTGGTTCCTGTAGAAAACCTATGTACTGCTCTCTTCTGGTTCTTCTGTGATTTTTGTTGCTGTTGGGATGTTTGTTTCTTAGAGGTTTCACCTGACATAGAAACACAAGAAAAGGAAAATCCCACAGTAGGTATCTCTAGTTAGACTTTGGGACTCAATATCAAAATAAATAATTTTTTTTAATGTCTCATGGTCAGGCCATTAGATCTCTTTAGTGTTAAGTACATTTCTTAGAGCAATAAATCTAACCTTAAATACCTACAAGTTCTACTGTGCTTTAAACAATAAACTTCAAAACATTTATGTATACAGACAATTGAATAATACTGCTGTAATAACTATGTATATGGATAATGTCATATAATGCTACCTTTCCACTTAGGAAATTTAAGTTGAAATGTTATTAGTGGAATGAAAACAGGGGACATATTTTTCTTGCTACAATCACAACTTTTATGGACTTCAGAGAAAATGTGTGTCAGAAGCTCAACAGTCTTAAGAGGATTATTGATATACCAGAGTGAACATAACACAGTTATACTACAATGCTAAGTTATGCTCAAGTTTCTTCCTAGAAATGTCTGCTTTAATCTTGATGCTTTAAACATGGATTATTTTGCTAAGCCAGATCAATTTTTAGAAACAGCAATAGTACGGACAATTGCACTGACAGATTTCAGTGCACAGAAAATACCTTCAGGCAGGATAGTAACCCATATAGACAGTAATCTCAAAAAATATTTCACTTACAGGTAGAACTGAAAGGTGAGACGGGCCCCATAAGTGACAGTAAAAAGGCAAGAAGGCTTCACAGTGACTGAGAATAAGGGGCGTGAAGGGGAATAGTTAGAGATAGTTTACAGAAGCAAGAATGTACAGCTTGCTAGAAAATAAGGGATGGCAGACACTGTGTCTGGGATAGTGAGGGGGAGGAAGGCCACAAAAATAAGGGTTTGAGAACAGCCCGAGGACATTTGGCAGGGAGGTGATTAGATGTCCACAGGGCAAGAAGAAACCACTTTTGAGGGATGCCCCCCCGAAAGGCCAGGAGTTTACAGCGAAAATGGTCAGAAGCCTTTGTGAGGAAAACAACAAATCTTCATCCCATGACCCACTACGCATGTGCAAGAGGGGAGGGTCTGCATGCTAACAAACTCAGGGGTGTAATGACTGTGTATCCGAATTCCGGGAAAACTACTGATGATGAATCCGTTCCGCCTATATGTGTAGCACCATTTTTCTAGACGGTGTGCAAGTTAGGCAGATTTATCCCCCTTGCACCTAGGTGTCTGCGCAGCACTGAATAAAGTGTACCTGCTTTGCAATCTTACTTGGGTTACAGAGTTTGATTCCGCACGTCAGAATAACCTAAACAAGTGCAGAGAGATAGCAACATTTTGTACTATGTAGAACTATAAGCAAGGAACTGTTGTACACAGCACAGTAAGTGCAGATTTGGGACAGAAATGCACAGAGCTGATAGCAGAACAATTATCACTACATTTATATTCTGAAGGCTAGGAAGATCTGCTCAGCTTTGCAGACACAAAGCTTTATTGCTGGTACAAACATAGATACTATGTATTTTTAAATGAACACACTGCTGACATGTTTGTAATGGGAAAACAAGCCCGAGAGCCCACATATGAAGCAAATGTGTAAGGAAAACATCAAGAAGCTGACATAACTAAATAAGGAAAGGTAAACTGCTAGGTGTAGATTTTTCAGTAAGAACACAGTCCTTACACTGCATGATTATATGATTAATACCTGTGCAAGTGAGTTTGACATTAATAATTTTCCAGCTAATAATTTCTCCATGTTATAAGATTTACCAGCTTATGAAATCCTTACCAGGACAGATTCATCAGGGGTGCATCCGCCATTAATGTAATATCTGGCATCCACAGCTCTGACTCTACCATCATTCATGAAGCCAACCTACAACAAATCACCAATTACCTTAGATTTTTGACATTCATTTCTTCACTGTTTGTATATTTTGCAAATGAACGTAAGCCACATAAGGCTCCTACTGCACTGTTAATTCCTGAGCAGCATTACTGAAACTGTAAAAAGGACAAGAGAAAATTTAAGAAGTATAGATACAGGAAACAAGCCTATCGATAAAGGAAGAAACAGGGAAGCCCAGTGGTTTTTTGTGTGCTGCCTAACAGATGGCTTAAATGTCATCTAGGAATGCCCACAGCAGGCAGAGTCAAATTTCTTCCTAACTGTAAGAACAGATAGCAGATGCAGTATGACATTTGCTTGTATTTATGAAGAAACGTTATGTTTATCTTGCATCTCTTTTCACCTGTTGCCATTAAAGATAGTTGCTGAGTTCTCAACATGAGCTACAAATATTTTTTTCTTCAGGGATACATCTTAGACAATTCCTTCTGCTTTATCTATGTATTCGAGATTGAAATGTAGACCGCATTTTCCCTAATAAACTGTTACAAGTAATGACAATGCATGAACAAGGAAGCCGTAAGTTTCCTCCAGAAAGTGCCTTTTCATGAATCACACTATTTCTGAGAAAAAAACAGCATTTCCTTCATGTAAATTTAACTGCATGCAGGGTTTAAAAACACCTGCTCAAGTCTGAGCTAGCCTGCCTTCCAAGTCCCAGGAAGAAAGACAGAGATACAAAAGGAGATTATTCAGCAATTCAGAGATACAAAAGGAGATTATTCAGCAATGAACTAGAAAACAAAACAAAAAACTCTGCAGAGATAGAGAAAGAAGCAGTCTGCAAAGCAACTATACCTCTTTGTTTCCGAGAAAGTAGTTTGTTTTTAAACTCTTTATTATTACTCTAATGAATAGAAAAAGTATTAACCAGTGACACTGAACTCCTTATTCAAGGACAACGAGCAGATGTTTTTTCACTAAATTCTTATGGTACTCACTTTGTATTTGCCAATAAAAGGATGTCGGCCACCAGTGATCAACATATCATCTCCCCGGCTCAGAATAAGACGGACTGCTCTGTTGGTTCTAAATCAAGAAAAGAAAAGTAAGAATTTCAGATAAACTAATAGTTATCATTAACAGTGTTAGTGTATTCTATTAATTAGGAATCCAGATTTGCAACGTATAAAAGTATGCACTAAGCTTTAGTACAAAACTGAATGTTAATAGGCTTAAATACGTGCATAATGCTATATCCAGAGTTCATTTTCTTTTGCAGTTACAATCAAGTCAGAATTTTTAACTTCACCTCTTGAAAGTCAATGAAAATTTCAGTTTTAAGACTGAACTCCGTTAATTGTGCTAAGAACAGTTCCACTCATAAACTCATCCACTGACACGGCAGGATCCAGTTCACTTCCGGACGGCTAATGTCATGGTTTGAATGCGTTTCAGCGTTTAGGGACTGGACTTTTACAAATGTTCAATCATTTCAAGACTACTTCAAACTTACACTACTCACATTCTCTTCAAATCCCTTCAATTCAGATGAGGTGAAGCTGCTTAACACAACTTAAGCAGTCTAACAAAGTGAACAAAGAAAAGCATTGAAAAATCTTACCAAATGTATACAGATAGGATTTTATGACATTTTGGCTAGCAACCTTCAGAAGGGAAGAGACAATTTTGCCAAGATGTAAAACTTGTTTACTCAGTTATCTCTTCATATCCCAGTACACACACATCACACTTACTTGTTTGCTGCCACTGAAGCAACTGATGCCAGTAAACCAGCTTTCAGGAGTTTCCCACCAAAAGCTCCACCAACTCGTTTAACATGGCACATGATCCTGTTTGCTGGAACGCCTAGACTTGCAGCTACCATCTCCTGTAGAAAGAGTTTTACACCAGTATCAGGGCCTGCTTTTAGCTCTAAAATCAGTATTTGAATTAAGAACCTTTTGCAGAGAATGGCTATAAAGATATTCTGTTCATATGTTTGTTGTTAAATTGGCTTACAAAACTTTTTTCCTTAATCTCAACTTTAAGAGCAAGCAAAAGAGAACAAGAAACACTCAGCAGTGTTTTCATTCAATATCTCTGTCATGGAGACTGTGAAAGGGTCATGAACAGAAGTAAAGAATATACATACCAAAAAGTACATAATTTATGCATGAAAAACTGAAAAGCTTCATGTATAACTAAATAAATATTAGAATACAGTATACATTTTTATTAACTAAAGCATTTATATTATTTTAACTTCTAATTAAAATTTAAATTTGTTTTTTAATAATCTAAAGCCTTATTAATACCAGGTATATCCTTTCTTCAAATCTCTAATATACATCATTTTCTCAAAGTTTGTCATGCTTCTTGGCTCTTGCCAATAAGGTAATGGAAACTGAAAAGCTCAGTTGAACTGGGTGCTGAACACAAAATGCCAGCATTTGTTGTGAAATAGTATCAGTTTCATGTACCATAGCCAATGCTATGCAGACAATATGTTGCATCAGTTTGCTTTACCATTATGACATGGAGCAGCAGTCTCCCCTACAGCTAATAAGAGTAGCTCCGTCTGTCAGCACAACGACTGCAGAATGCTGATTGCTCTTCACCTCAACAGAAGCTAAGGGAGAAACTCCACACGAAGTTTCTCAAAAACACAACAGTGGGGGCAAGATACTCTTTTTTCAAAGTGACATTTCAAAGTGTCTCAAAGAGACATTTTCTTCCTCCTTACTGTCAAAGCAGAGTGGTCAGTGTACATCAGGATACAGCAGTACTACAAAGCAGATCCCACTGGATAATCCAGATGTGCAAATTCACATTCCCAATATTTCTAAATTGCTAAGATGGGATTTTCAAACCACACTTAAGGAGCCCTCTGTCACAAGTTCAATCACATCCTCTGAAAATCCTCTATATTACCTGGATAAATGCTGGATGTTGTGTTGAAACAAACACATCCATTTCTTTATCCTCTCCTTTTGGAATAGCAAGGACACTCTGAGTCTCCATATAAAAGTGTTCCTGTCCCCCAATGTGAATCTCCCCTGTTCCAAAGAAAAAACACAACTATTACTGAAGGAAAAGGACAGGAAAATGTGAGCCAGAAAAAAAAAATACTGCTCATCATCATGCAAATCATGATAGTCAATGTCAAATCTTCTGATGCATCCTGTACAAAAGGAGCAACATTTAAAATAAAAACATAAGTCAAACTTTGCACAGATTTAAATTGGTCTTGTTCCAGTGACATCAACAGAACTTGGTTAACAGCACACTAATATTGCCTACAAATGTTGGCAATATTAAATAAAACACAGATTAATTAAGCAAAGCATAGACATACTGAAGGCCAGCAAGAAGGTGACAGCATTAGAGAACAGAATGTGTAACAAGAGACTGAAAAAACAGATTTTACTCAGGCATAAGAAGAAGAAGGTTAATGGCAAATTTTACTGTCGTCAACAACTACCGAATGAGAGGGGATAGACAAGACAGATCCAGATTGCTCTCAGAGGTGTGAAGCAGAAGGATGAGAGTCAAAGTACACAAGAAACTGCAACTTGACATATGGAAAAAAAAATCATCATGAAGATGGTCAAACATTGAAAGATGTAGAAAGTTGTAGAATCCCCATCCTGGAAGATTGTTAAAATTTGATTGGATGTAGCCCTGGGTATCCTGCTCTAATTGGAACTCTTTGAGGGTGAGGATGGACCAGACAACTCCCTTTCAACCTAAATTATCCTGTGATTCTACCTCAAGGGCAGAGGGCACAGAAAACTTGAATGAAACAGGATCTCAAATCTACTAGGTTTGATCACACTTTTATTCCAGACAGCCTAGAGCTTTCTCAGGGTTTATGGCCACGTGACATCACTGAAAAAAAGGCCAAAATGACACTTCAGGAACAAACAGGGAAGACCAAAAACTGACAACTTCTTATCAAATATATTCTGCAATGTACCTTCAAGTATATGATCGACAGTTTCAAATGCCTTATCAACATCTCCACGTTCTAATTTTCTTTTTGGCTCAAAGAATGAATTGTGCTTTATAGCATCCTGCAGCAGAGAAAAACAGAAACATTTTTTTTAGTGTATTTTGCAGGTTCACAGTTTGTCATGGCATTTTATCTCAGGAAGAATATCGTTCTCTTCAGAGATACGATTATTTGCCAACCTTTCAAAAGAAATCACTTCTATTTTTATATCAGAATGAGTATTCTGTTACTCCATACACATTATGTAAATAAGTGATTGACAGAACTAATTTTAGCTCCCTGCAAACATGTCCTTTGCTCCTTATTTCCACCCATCCCTGTGAGTTCCACATCACATTTCCAAGATGTTCCATATCCCTAATATACTTTCCCACACATTCCTCTAACAGTTCCTGCATCTCCAGCCTAACTTTGTCTGCTTTCTAACTAGTCAACAAGTAAGTATTAAGAAATTGATTGTTCAGCCAATAATATATAATTGATTAACATGCTGGTTGTCAAGTTGGTAGCTCCCAATAGAATTAGAAATAATCAGATTGCTCATTGCTTTTTACTCCCCAGGAACAACAGGAAAAAATCTTTGTTCCTCCTCTTATGTTGATTATTACAAAACTTCTGAGATCTTAATACTTTTGAGACTACCATATATATATTACAAGTGGCCAAAATTAGTCAGAAGTTATTTAGAGAGTTACTGACAAACTATTTAATTGCATATTCAGTTTCACTGTTTTTGCTTAGAAAAACATGTTAAAAAAGGCAAGTGAGAAGCACAGACTTCTGCTTCCATTACCTAAATAGATAAAACAGTGAAAAAGCAAGAGAAAAGAAGATTAGCACCTCAATTGTCAAGATCACAGGTTCCAGCGCTTCATACTCTATCTTCACTTTTGCAGCAGCTTGTTTGGCATGAGCATATGAATCTGCAGCTACAGCACATACAATCTGACCAACACAAATTACCTGTGAAATACATATAATAGAATAGTGGATTAAATTACTCCTGTATGTGTTTCTGAAATTCCTCCTTCATATAACAATTACTAATGCTTCCTTTTTTTTTGAATTTTGTTTTCACTTTTTAGATCATCCGTGAAGCTAACAAATCACCAGGAAGACGTGTACTGTTGGGGAACCAAAAAATATAAGGTTTTCAAAAATCTGCAAGCAATTTGGTAGTCTCAACGAAATACACCCTCCCAACAACTCAGATGATTTTGTGAGATTTCATATGTCTTCCTCTGATTTATACATATTTCTCTTGCCAGATTATAACACACATCAGCTGTTTTAAGAGTCCAAAAAAAGAGTGAGAAAATATAAGAATGTGTCATACTGGTCCCACTCTTCTCTACCCATGGTTGCAGCCTCACCTTGAGTACAATATACAACTTTGCATGACACAACTTAAAGGACAGAACTATTAGACTGTGTCCAAAGGAGGGCAAAAAAAATGGTGAAAGGTCTAGATGGGAAGACGTATGAAGAGCAGTCGAGGTCACTTGATTTCTTCAGCTTGGAGAAGATGAGATACAGCTTCTTCATGAGGGGTAACAGAGGGGCAGGCACTTTTCTCTGGTGACAATAACAGGACCCAAGGGAAGGGCGTGGAACTGCACGAGGGAAGGTTTAGGCTGTGTCTTTGGAAAATGTTCTGCAGCAAGCGGGCATTTGGGTTCTGTAACAGGCTCCCCAGGGCTGTGGTCACAGCACCAAGCCTTCTCAAGTTCAAGAAACGTTTGGACAACACCTTCAGCTGTATTATTTAATTTTTAGGTAATCGTATGCAGAGCTACAGGCTTGATGGCTCCCTTCCAACTCTAGACATTCTTTGAATCTGTGTCATATGCCTAACATGATTCCCTGACATACCCACTATACAGAAATACAAGAGACAGCAGGCAAAATTTCATTATAAAGACTACAAGAAAAAGTTGTAGAAATTAACAAAATAAATTTTAAAAATTTTAAAAAGATTGCTTTCAAACCTTGTTTCTTGCAAATATAATCTCTGGATCATCAGAGTAGTGAAACTCATTTGTAGCTGGTACATCATTAGCTGTTATGACATCAAACACACCTGGTTCCTTCAGAGCCTCTGAGGTATCTACAGCTCTAATTGGTACATGGAAAGACAGAAGTGTAATTCATTAGTTTTATAGTTACACATAGGGAGTGAACACAATCAGAAGTATATTTCTTGTACAGTCAGAATCTGCACATGCTGCCAGAATTAGATACGTCTCTTTTTTCTATCTGTGGTACGTAAATAAATGATCAAAGGGAATTAAAAATTCCAGTAACTTGCTGTGATTCTAGAAAATGTTCTAAACATGACAGAGAAATCATCTGTTCATTAGGCTGCTAAAATTCATTAATTTCATAAAAATCTGCATAATTGCAACTCATTAAGACTTTACAGCATACATAGATATCAAATACATTAATAAACTTTCTACAAATTGAGATTTCAGGTGAAGAATTATGACAGAATTGGCAAGACTGGTACGAATGAGAACACGTGTGTGGAAAGACCAGAAAGAATTGCAGAAGGTCTGTAAGAACAGCATTTTTGCAGCATCTACTTTAGCAGATCATCAAGATCCCAGCATATCTACAAGCACCCTTCCTGGATACTGAAATCAAAAGACAAAAAAGAATGAATAAATCCTACCGACTGCTGCAAATCTAGGGGGTAGAAAGGATGTCAGCTCCTAGATGGTACCAAAAAGAATATATCCAAACCCAGCATACTATTGCCAACTTGAGAATAAGACAGGATGTATTACAAAGACTCTATAGCTAGCAACTCCAGTTCTCTGTCTTCATAAGTAACCTTGACAACAGCACAGAAACATATGTCTTGATGCTTGAACACAGGGCATACAACTTGTGTATTTTTGTACCTTAACAATGGAAAAACTTTCATATATCACTACTCAAGCATAGGTGAAAATAGTTCCCTTTCCAAATAAGATCATCTTCAAACTGTCTTCTCTTACAAGGCCTCATACGAGCTTTTCTACCTTGTTGCAATGTGACAATGTTATTTCCTACATTTTGAACAATTTTCCTCTTTCATAACTGAGTTGAGATTTCAAAACTATGTTCATGAACGTTCAGGTGCCTCTCTGCATTGCACAGCTCAGCACTATGTGTAGGTATCTAGGTAAGGATTAAGTACGCTAGCTTACCGAACAGAAGTAGTTCAATCACAGCAATATGAAGTGATATATGTAAATCCAATTAGAGCCTTCTACTAGAGTGACAATAGGGGGCCTACTGGAAAGATGGGGGGAGAATTTTTATAAGGGCAGGTAGCAACAGGATTAAGGGGAAATGGTTTTAAACTGGAAGAGGGTAGATTCAGACTAAATACTAGAAGGAAATTCTTTATTGTGTGTGTGGGGAGATGCTAGAACAGGTTGCCCGGAGAGGTTGTGAATGCAATCTGGTCTAGTGGGAGGTGACCCTGCCTACAGCAGGGGGTTGGATACAGATGATCTTAAAGCTCCCTTCCAACTCAAACCATTCAGTGATTCTATGATTATATTGCTTCCAACACCTGAGCCATTGTGGGTATCAGATGTGTTATTCTGTATACACATAATCCAACTTCATTAATCTGTTCTAAAAACAGCAGACTTCAAAGTAAACTTTCTTCAGATACTCTTGGAACACTTACATAATCTTAGCATGAGCTCTGGAACTAGTGACAACAGCCAGGAAGAGCTCTCCATCGACAGAAGGAATATCATCAACGTAAACTGCTTCACCAGTGGCATGCTTAATTCCAGACTGGTGCATAATAGGCCGTCCCACAGGATCCTGGGGAGACTGACTCAGCTCTACATTCTATATCATAAAAAAAAAAAAAAAAAAAAAAAAAAAAAAAAAAAAAACATGCAGAAAGTTAAAAAATAATGCTATATTGCATTAAATAGAAAATCACATAAAGATTAATTGTCTTTATTATCATCTTCTGGTTCTATACTGAAAACAGATGCAGAACTGGACTGCTGCTCCTGAGGTTTTCGACAATCACTTCTCCTAGGGAGTCTTCCAAGAATCTTGTATAGTTTTACCTAAATGCATGTTTTCCAGAATCACTTACATCGAAGTTATATAAAGAACAGCTAGTTTTCAGAAGGCCAGTTTTCCCCTTACTGATTGGTATCATGAGACTCTGATAATTTTCTGAATTATTCTCACATTTTTCTGTTCTGTATTCTGTCAGTCTGTGGTGTTCTAGTTTCAACAATTTGCAATGGCTTGTAGGATTTATCTTCCTCAACGAAAGACTGCAATCAGTGCAAATCAGAGAGAACATGTTAAAGTATTTCCTTCTCAATTTTATTCCCTTACAATAGTGTATGAATGTCATGTCTTATTAACCTTATTTTTCTAGGTTTTCCTGAAAATTAATTTAGTATTACTAAATAATTCTAGTTGAATTATAGCCAAATCAACTAGTTGATGTTCACTTCCAAACCAATTATCTAGTTTCTGGGTCAGTGATCACACCTTTTCACTTTCTGCATTTAGAGCTAGTGATTTGCTCAGGTCCCAAAGTCTTTTCTTCTCCTACAGCCTCCAGCACACAAGTGCTCTCTCTATGTATTTCTCTCTCTTGCGCTTTCTGGTACATTCTCTGTTATTAGACCAAAGACATTTTTCACTTGACTGACTGAAGTTACTCAGCAAGTCCATCTAAACTTTATCTCATGTTTATCTTGAAAGATACGTATTCTTTTTTTCCCTACTTTAAAAATAAATAAATAACAGATCCATATGAAATATTCCAGGTAGAAGATAAGAATTTGCAAAAGTCAGCAATTTAAAGTGATGAAACAGACTGGGTTTCTGTATCTTCTGTGTTTCTCAGTTCTGGCTGATCAGAAAAATAAACATTGCCCATTTCTGTTGTTAAGTCACTCTCTGTGGCAGCTCAGGAATAAATTGTAGAAAAAACACAGAAAACTAATTTCCTTAACCCTGGATCCTGTGTTAATTTTGTACTGCCATTACTTTTAAGGTAAGTCTGCAGAAGCTGTAGATAATTACTTCAATTTGAAGCAACAAGTTATTCTAAAGAATATCTAAAATTGAAACAAAAATGTTTCCCAATATTTCATTTGAATTTTCTTCAGGTTTCTAACAACTTGATTTTTATAAACCGTACTCTTATCAATGACATGAAAAGATCAAAAGCCTTTCCTTGCTGGATTTCCCAGTCAGATCTAGCCACTAGGTCTCAAAGAGCTCAGAAAATCTAAGATGTGTTCTTTGCTGCCATCTACTGCTGACTTCTCATTTAACACTCTGAGCAGATCGCTATCACAAACGTCATCGTTTCCTAAATCTACATTAAGAACTAAGAACCCTCTTAAAGCCTAGGAAAAGTGCAACTCGATACAAGAATATTACTGTATCCTTGGACTTGTCAATGCTTTTTATTTTTGTCTAAGATTTTTCAGATTAGATTGAACACAGTCATGTAACAGCTTTAAGCAGGCTGACAATAGGGCTTATTTGGAATATTTATCTTTGGTGAGCCATTTATAATTCAGTATATCCAGAAGGCAAGGTTTTTATTAATTAGATACACTTAAAACCAAACACTCCATGCCTGTTGCTCTCAGTTCTTGCTTGAACCTTTACTTTTAACCAAGTCTCACAAAGCACAGAACAATCTTAGAATGAAATTGCTTGCCTGGAATATTTGGATACTCTGGGGCATTTTGGTTTGGAAGTTTTCTAGAACACTCTCATACTCCGCAGGTATGCCAGGATAGCGACAAGGGTCCTGAAAAAGAAGTAAATTACTAAAATCACTATTAAAGCTCATGTTTTAAATAGTAAAGCTAACAACAGAAATCTCCCAATTCAAGCTCTTTATACAGAAAATTATTTCCAGATTCCCACAGTTTAGGCTCTAAAATGACAATGTGAAAAGAATTTAGAGCTTTAAGATTTCACTAAATAATATTTATACGTGTGTTTCAAGTAAGCAACATAATGTAGAGACAGTCAGAGGAGATTTGTTTTGAGATCTGATCAAAACTGGTACAGAATAACTCCTGGTTAGAATAAATTTAGAAAATTATCTAAGCAACGGAAATGGGGGAAATAGCTTAAGGTAATTCTGAAAAGAAATGCAAAAGGGATGTTTTTCCTCAGAACAGATTATAGGCAAAAATAAATAAATCACAGCTAAAATGTATTAAGCCAGTGAAATTCTCCCACTCAACAACTCGTACAAGAAGCATTGGTTTAATGCATACAGTTACTTTTCAAAGCCTTTATACTTTTGGTTGTTTTTTTTGTTGTTTTTTTTTCGGTTTTTTTTTTTTTGAACTGCAGACAGATAGAGTAAGAAGATCTTAATACTGATATACTTTTGCAATATCCTTGCTAAGTTTTTATTTTTGTTTTATAGCCCAATATCCAAGGGAAAGACATTCGGGCATCTAAAAGTTAAGCAGGCACCTCTCCATAAATCTCTTTGAGATTTAAGTGCTTGCATTTCTCTGTAGATCTTAACTCTATAAGAAAATATTTAGCATGCTCTACAGACTGCAAACCTTGACATAGGAAAAAGCCTTTCATTTAACTAGAAAAAAAGGAATCCCATGAGAATTGAAGACAATTACCATTGTCTTCAAGGACTGTAATACTTCCAGGAAAAATTTGTAGAAGAAACTAACTATCAGAATTTTTTTATATTCTACTTTCCCATCCCAGGCTGAGTCTGGAAGAACTATTTCATTGAGGATTAGCCTGGAAGCTTCATCCAACATCTCTTCATTCCAGTATCTGTCAGAAGGAATAATACAGATATAATCAGACGAAGGCTCAAGATATATAAGTAAACAAATACGGATGTATATCAGTAATACCTTTGTACCATTCTGCTTACAATGAAACCTAAATGTTCACTGTAACGACAGCCTGCATTTTTTAAAACAGTGTTGGTCAATGTCACTCACAGAAGTGAGGTATCTTAAGTCAGTGAAATGGAGCCCTATGTCACAAGAAAACTGATTTAAAACTTATACACTATCATCACTCTGGAGATACTGTCCCATATGTAGAGAAAAGAAAATGACAATACTGTTGCAAACTGGAGATGCTTTTAAGTGATCTGATTAATGTTTTCAATTATTGTTCCATATTTTCCGATAAGGCCTTCTTTGAAGTATCTCAAACAGATAATCCCACATAGTTAATTACACAATGCTAGATATCAGGGTATAAATATATTAGAATAAATTTAAGCACATAAAGCGTCAAAAAAAAGCTATCAAAATGCCTTTATTCTGAGACACAGAAAACACTGAAGAATTTTACCTTCCAACAAGAGTCTGACAAGTTTGCTTTGCACAGATTGTTGTTGAAGCAACACCTCCATAGAAAATGCTCAAATCCTTTATTTTGTCTGTACCTTCTTCAAAAAGGACTCTCATTCCAGCACTAATTATTGGGAGAGCATTTTCTCTTCTAGGTGCTTGTCTAAATGCAGAGATATACTCTCCCTGAACAAGATCAGACAGAAGTGAATAAGTGGCAGATATGTAAGCAAAAGAAAGCAAAACATACTTTGGCACCACAAGAAGCAAGTGAATAAAACCAGACAGCACAAATTCAGCTCCCTGAGCATTCAGTACATGCTTCCTTATGTTGAACTTTCAGTAAAAAATATGAAATGTAAGGAATCCAGAAACTAAGCAGTAATAATATTACCTGAAACACAGGCATTATGCCCCACTCCTGCTGTTTATATAAGTCTCTAAATCTTCATGAAGCAAATCTAAACACACCAGTGACTCACCTTCCTAGAATGGGGAATACGGACAGAGACTAAAACCTCTTCCGGCATTATAGCATTGTTACCAACTCCATTTGCAAAAATATCACTCAAAGGAATCCATCTCTTTCCTCCTAAAAAAAACCAAAACAAAACAAAACCCAGAAGCTTTTGCACAACTGTGCTAAAAATAAACATTAAACAGTTTTAGTTGGCAAGAAAAACATGCAAATTTCATAAGTAAATACAAACTTTAGAGTTTACGTAACATCTACCAGTGCTATACTCTATAAATGTACGAGTGTTCAGTATTACATAGTATCATGACACCAGAGTTCTAAAAAATGGAGAACTACCCCTGTTCTGTAATCTTCTCTACTGATGCTACGGCTTTTCTTCTCCTGCTTCTGTCAGTGTGTTGCACCAAATCTCTATAGCTACTGTCATCAGTGCCTTCTCTGCTAAAGTAAAGGGAACGAGTAAGACTACTGAATGAGGGAGAACTGCTGTAAAAATATAAACTGACTTAATTTTATTATCTGTTTGAGTCATCTCAAGACTTTCTAGAACCAGATAATCTTTGGTGTCATTTGTAAGAGCTTCATGTATCCCCTCGTATATTCAATGAGCCTGATACTGCAACACTGGTTGCATTGAAGGAAAACTACTTTCCTCATGTTTTTCCATGCTACATGTAATGACAACACATTCACTCCAGAATATCATTTAGCGTTCAAACTGCATTCCTAAAACACAACTACTGTAACAGTAAGTTTTAGTACAGAAAGGTGATTTTTTTGAGTTTTGAATCTGAAAAGCAATACTGTCAATATAGCAGCACTGGTGTTTTTAGGGTTTTGCCTATGCAATTTCATATGGAATAAAATCTGTATAGATATATTGTCCAATTCCACTTAGAGCCAGCCAGAATGTGGGAAGATGCATTTTCTGCTACACTGTTACTTTTACACTGTTACTTTTACTTTTTTACACTGTTAGTTTACTAAGGTAAAAAATAATGAAGACTGTTTCTGCAACCTCTTTTTCCTGAGCAATCCACTTTTCCTAGGTTTCGCTAACTACTACTTGGTGAAGAAATATGTTAAAAACCTGTGAAAATACCTGAAAACTTAGCAGTAAAATTCTACCAGGCTAACAGAAAGAGATACCAGTCAGTGATTCTATTCATCACTCAAACAGGCATATCACTGGAGCTTTTCAACGAGGGGATGCAAATATTTGTGCTTTCACTTGTCAGAAGACCTTCTGACAGGTATTCTGATTTCCAATGGTAAACTATGCAGAAAGAAGTCATGGAAATCATATGGCTTTTTTTTTTTTTTCTGCATCTGTTCAAAGAAACCCTGGCGCAGAAGCAAAACCATAAAGAATATTTATTTCATGCTACTGAATTAAATATTACGTGGTCTGAAATGGCAGTATATGCTCAGTCTAGATCAAGGGCAAAAACAGGCATTAGAATCACAGAATCAAAAAAAAAAAAAAAAGGACATAAGACATCTGGAGGAGAGCATACAGTTTCAAGCCACAAGATACCTGATGCTTACCAATAATTTTATCACTCTTTTAATGGTAAGGAGTACACAGGGACACGAGCTAACAGAGGAAAGTACGCAGTGATGGAAGAAAAATGATGAAAATGAAAGAAAGTGCTGGACTAGAAACTCCTGTATTGAAAGTTCATGTAAGGAACAAAAAGCTAGACTTCCTCTCAGGGCCATGGGATAATTTTAAAGATAGCACGAAGTACCCGCCACAGGGAAAACTATCAGTAGGGTGGGCTACTCAAATAATAAGGTTTAAGGAATGCTTTTGGCAATTCACTGCCCATGAAAGGACATAAGATCCAGTTGGTTCAAATGCTTACCTTCACATGGAAATCTGTGATGTTCTTAGTTTGTAAATTGCTTCTCTAACAGATATGAAAACAGTTCCTTAACAAACACTCAACATCCATTTACTACCCAACCTCGCACCTTGTACAGTGTCATCCTGCACTTCTGGCACTAACACAGAATCATGGAATCGTGAGGGTTGGAACGGACCTCCAGAGATCATCTGAGATCATCGAGTCCAACCCCCCCTGCCAGAGAAGGTTCCCTACACCAGGTCACACAAGTAGGCGTCTTGAACAGGTGGGTCTTGAACATCTCCAAAGAAGGAGACTCCAAACCTCCCTGGGCAGCCTGTTCCAGTGCTCCGTCACCCTCACCTATGGAAGTTCCTGCACACATTTGTGCGGAACTTCCTATGCTCCAGTTTCTGGCCATTTCCCCTTGTCCTGTCTCCACAAACTGCTGAAGAGTCTGGCCTTGCCACTCTGCCCCTCACACCTTAGATATTTATAGATACACTAGTACAGAAAAAGAAAAATATCTCTTACCTTGCGAAGCCAGATTAAGCATACAATTGCCAGCTGCCAGAATAGGGTTCAAGTCTGAGGTTGATTTTCGACTTACAATGTTTCCACCTAATGACTTGAGAAAAAAAAAAAAAAAGAATGTTATTTCTCTTTATCACCTTCATATTTTCATTGTAACAATATACCAAAAGATCACTTGAAAGTTTAAGTGCAATAAAAACTCTAAAAGATGTACTGAGAGAAAAATAACAGCTAAAATTTTTTTAAAAAATTTAAATATAAAAATTCTAAAAATTTAAAATGCAAGTTTTTCAAGCAATTTTGCATAGTTTCTGTTCCACACATGCAACTGTTACTGAAAATAATGTACAACATACAGCAACATTTCTTATCTGTTCTCCACCCAGTGTTCTTAACTGCTGCAAGACCGCATAGAAAATCTTTGTCTTCTCTTCAGGTAACTCCAAAACTGCATTTCTCAAGACGTCTTTCATTAGAGACAGGCTGCAGGCAGCTCCTATAGTTAATCCTGTAACCAAAATATTATGAAAGCCTAATGTAATGGCTTTACTGCCAGTGTTTTAAACTACATTCAAACTACAGCCAGGACTGCTCACACGCAGTACATTATATTTAAGGCAAAGAGCTTTCACATTTTAGAGGGACCAGTTTAGGAGACTGAGGATAGAGTTTCATGAAATGATGAAACTGAGCTAAAGATTCAACACATACACTAAAAAAGAATATTATTCTCTCCTACCTGCTTTCCTTGCACCACCTTTGACTAAGTAAGCGCTTAAGTGAGGTTTCACCCAAAGGTGAATTTCAACAGGCTTTTTCTCTTCTCAAGCACTTACATAGTTACTATCCTAAGGTAGCATTTGCAACAAAATAAGTAATTCTCACACTGTATATGGTATTATTCTTTTTCCCACTAGAAAGATAACCTATAGCTAAAAACATTCACTTCAGTAGTGATAAATTATTATATCAAGATTATACTTTTTAATTTTTTTCAATACTATAAAATGGCAGAAAGTGCTTTTCAATTCAAAATTTTTAATAGGTTTTAGTTATGAAAAGTGAGAACATTCTGAATGGGCACTAGAATTCAATCAAAAATATAAATCAAAGGACATATCATTTCAAAATGACTCTTAATTGAGTAACATATTGAGTATTTAAAACAAAATAAAATTGATCCAAACATCCTTTGCATTGAAATCTAATTAAAGAGAGAAAATAAAATTCCTTGTCAAACTAAATTGCATCTCTATCATGTTAGAACCAGTATGTCTCACTCTCTCATAACTAGAATTTTTTTTTCAGAATAAAAGATACAGCAAACATTCTCTCCACATTCTCTTTTCCCAATTCCCAGCCACTTCTCATCTAAGAACAAGTCAGTCATCAACTTGAACCAGCTGACTAAAATGAACTGAAAAAGATATTCACTCGAGATGCAATATCAAATACTAGTTACCATTTCAAAGAAAGCTGCTTTAGGCATTTAGGAAGTGACTGACATTAGATATGGAACCTAATTTTCCTTAGAACATGCACAACATAATTTAAACTTCATTATGTTATTACCATACTTTTAAATCCATTTCTAGTTACTATTTCAAATTTCAATAGAGCTTATTTTGAACTAAAACCTAGGTTTACTTCAATTTTAAAAAAATCTCTGTACTGATCTTAAATACATACACTGAGGTACAAAAGTATCAATTAGCAATATGTAATGCTCTTATGTTTGACATCAGGATTAGTTAATGCATATTATCATTCATGTTGAATCACATAAGAAATATTTTTTTTCTAACTTAGGAAAAAAAAAACACATTATGCATAGTTGCATAATTTTGCTTAAACTCTCTGTGATTCTACAACATATTGTGGTACAGAGATCAAAACTCATATATTACATGAATTAGCACCAGAACTGGTATTACCAGGATAATGGCCCTGTACTACTACACAAAATATTTCTGATCAGTTCTCCACTGTGTTATGAAGACAGAAGTCTGTATCACGCACAGTGGCCACAGCCACCTTGATACAGGAAATAACCAAGCATGCTTTGGCACAGGTGAAAAGCCAGGATTGTTGTACAGCAACTTAACACCTTCAGAGCCATGGAAAACAGTAATATCTCTTGCTGCAGAGGAATCTCTCAAGTCTCAACAAAGAAAAGTCTACTGACCATCGCTCATGCATTTCACCACATTCAGATCTGGGATCTCTCAAGTCTCAACAAAGAAAAGTCTACTGACCATCGCTCATGCATTTCACCACATTCAGATCTGGGATCCTGGCAGGAGCAATGACAATTGGATGGAACACGCCTCTAAATTTCATATCAGGTCCTACCAAACAGAAATACACTTTAGACAAAAAAAACACATTCCATAACCACAATTCCAAAATAGTGATGAAAATGCAAAATAAACTGTAAGCTTAGCCCCACTCCATGGATGCACACTGAAAATATGGTAATAGAAGACATTCTGACTGTACATACCCACACCAGTGTTTCCAACAACAAGAGGTGCTTTGGGGTGGGCAGCTTTCAGATCCTGTAATTCATCTAAGGTTACAGGAGAAATCCACATCATTCGTTCCCCATGAAAAACCAGAGTCCTTTTCGGTTGATTTTCAGCCATTCTCTGATGTGGAAACACAGCAGATTAACACACTTAAACATTGCCTTCAAGTATCTGAAGGGCTTACTGGAAAGCTGAGGAGATAACTTTTACAAGGGCAGGTAGCAACAGGATGAGTGGAAATGGTTTCAATCTGGAAGAGGGTAGATTTAGACTACACATTAGGAAGAAATTCTTTACTGTGAGGGTGGGAAGATGCTGGAACGGGTTGCTCAGAGAGGTTGTGAATATCCCCTCTGTGGAAGCATTCAAGGCCAGGCTGGATGGGGCTGTGAGCAACCTTGTCTAGAGGAAGGTATCCAGGGGGTTGGAACCAGATGATCTTAAAGGTCCCTTCCAACTCAAACCATTCTATGAATGTATGGTACATACAGTTGGCAAGGTCTAACAGACACTGATGAGATCAGAAGTAAAAAGATCTTAAAATAGGGCAGTTCTACTCAATCCTTCAAAACTGCATAGAAATTGAACTGCCAAGTTGATTCTTTGCACAGTGGTAAATTTTTAGAATTCACAAGTGAACAACCTTTGATTCATTCCAATGTGTAAACTGACTGGATTAATAGTAAGTACAAGAAATAGCCCCCAAATAAAAAATGCACAAATAGGGTCTGCAATTGGTGAAATTAATAGAAAAGTTATTTGTACACTTAGTTTGTTTGAGATTACCAGTGATACCAGCAGCTGCATCCCTTTATACATCCATATGGATGCCTGGACTGGCACTGATCACTTGGATATAGCTTGTGAATTAGTGTTGGTACCAATACATAGTCAGAAATGTTTACCTCCCTGTTGACAACTTCTTCCTGTAAGGAGATAACTAATCATATATAATTTGGCTTTGAATCTAACAGTAATGCAAAGCAATGAGTTTTTGTAGTTTCTAGGGCAAATACTGCTGTCGGTAATGAAGGATTATTAGCATTTTCCATTCCAGTTTTAGACGCCTGTGACTTTGCCACAAACTGGGGCTAAACACTCACCTGTCTAAGTGCCATCTGAGGCTGACACTTTGACAGAAAAAAATAGAACAAACTATTAAATGACAAAATAGGGAAAAGGCATTATTAAAAAGCGTTTGTCATTCAGATTGCTGGGAACATCTGTACATTCACGTGCTGCTCTGAACGCCTGCTTTTTTTTTTTTTTTTTTTTTTACTTAGTATTCTCTCCTAATGATTAATTCTGCATCTTCAGTTTTCCAATGTGATATTTTAAAAATGTAATTAATCAAGGAGATAACTGGAACACCATCATATCAATCCAGAATTATATCTAAGATTATATGACATTTCTTCTGATAAATCATTGCTAAATAGGAATTCAAAATGAGTCTTGAACTATGGACCACCATAAAGGAAAAGGCAGAGCTTAAGAGCAGACAGTAAGCCACAAAAATTACCATTAGTTCTGGAGGAAATATAAACTCTTGGGTGGGATCTAAGGGCTGGAATTCATCTGGTGAAAACAGTCTGGCAGATTCCTTGAAAGAGAAAGAAAACAAGACCGAGATTTTTTTCTCCTTATTAGTTTCACACAAAACCAGAAATAAACTGAAAGGGTTCCACTGAGGTCAGTATAAAATCAGTAACTCTATTACCTTTTGGTTTAATGCTAAATTGCCCAAATGAGGGGAGATGGTTGTAGTGGCAGAGGCTGGACACTGTTTGCTATGTGGTGTGGTTGGGCATCAGTCAGTAAGGGGTGAACAACTGTGTTGTGTATCACTTGTTTTGTGTATTCTTTTATCATCATTACTATTACTATCCCTTTTTTTATCCTATTAAACTGTCTTTATCACAATCCACAAGTATTAACTTCTTTTAACTTTCTCATACAATGCAATGATTACAATATAAGTAAAGCTGAGAATATCTGCTACATCATCTCCTCTACATAAAAGTACACAAATAACTCAATGTTTGTAAGAATTTTTAAATTAATTGTGAGGAATAATAAAATATCTTATTTCACATATTACAAATGTAATAGTATGGAAGGAATAAGGTAGATCAAAATGACAGAGTATGCATATATCTTGAATACTTCAACAACAAGAACTAATGCAAAATACTTTCTCTAAGTTCTATATCCAACCAGGACAGTTACAATACTTAAAATATTACCTTCTCTTTTCTGTCAAATAAATCCTCTTCTTGATCCAAGCAACAGCTCCCATTTGCTTTACTTTGACAACAAACAGAATCCTAAAGTAAGAATATTCCATCACTAAAATATTTCCCATAATGGCAGTGATTTAAAGTCTGCTTAAGCCCTTCTCTCTTTATATTACAGGTCATTTAAGAGTATCTCCTAACATTTCAATGAAGAATGTCTGGATGACATTTAATAATACATTTAATTGGAAGTACATGTGTGTTAAAGAAACAATATCCAATAATATCTTAAAATCATATGATATCAAAGTCCTTAGCAGAAAATAATTTCTAGTATATCAAATTTGGTGGAATTGTGAGAGTACACATTCTGTATTATTTCCTTTATCCACAGTCAGTTCGGTCTCCTTCTTTCACTTTGACATGTTACTTTTGTCGGCACTGACTAATGGAAAAAAAGCACATCAGGGAGTTACTTTGGATTACCCTTCATAAACCAGGCTAGTTCATTTGTGGCAATCCCAAAAAACCCTTTACTTTTACACAGGTTAGGCCACTAGATACCTTACTCAGACTTAAGAAAAGATAGATATGATATTAATAAAAATCTTTGTGACTTGTATATGCATAGATACTGTATTTCAGAATAATTCTTGCTCCTCATACACCTACCTCAACAGGAAAAACATTAGTTTATAAACATAGCAACAGGCATAAACTATTAATACACTAGAGAGTACTAATAATCACAACACAGTGATGAAAGTACTCCTATAATCACTAGTTCTTACCTTACAAAAGGTTTTACAGGCATCTAGGATGGGCCTGTACCCAGTACAGCGGCACAAGTTCCCTGGATAAAGGAAATCATTAAGAAACATCTTAATGATGTTTCTGAAGTACACTGTACTTCAGAACATGAGATTTGTGTTTTTGAAGCTCAAGGGAAAGTGTTAGCCTTCTGAAAGACATAAAAACATCACATCACTAGACTTAAGAACTAGCAGCTCGAGAGAAAAAATGGCTTTTGTTTTAAAGTAGAGTTAGATATTAGGAGGAAGTTCTTCAAAAAGATGGTGGTGACACACTGGAACAGGTTGCCCAAGGAGGTTGTGGATGCCCCATCCCTGGAGGCATTCAAGGCCAGGCTGGATGTGGCTCTGGGCAGCCTGGTCTGCCAGTTGGCGACTCTGCACATTGCAGTGGGGGTTGAAACTCAATGATCATTGTGGTCCTTTTCAACCCAGACCATTCTATGATTCTATGATTCACTAGAGGGAATGCTGACTACAGCTTAGTATTCAGGAGATAAGAGAATGTAAAAGGTTCCTCACCCACTCCAAATGTTTTTCCATCCCTTCAATCTGTTCTTAATAGTGGAGGAGCCGAGCATTATGCCTCCACCTAGTTCCTCTCATTGTAACAGGAAATGCCTTTGTCTCCATTATGACTTCATGGCATAATGGATAACAGGATATTTTACCTGCAAATGATGTTTCAATTTGCAATTTAGATGGCCTGCACGTGCCTTTACCTCATTTGACTGATTAATTCCTACCACAAAGGGGCCTTCCTCCATAAGGCTTATGATACTCTCAACTCCAGATGTAACAGGATCTCAGAAACTTCCAGGTACAGCTACACATCCAACCTGCTGTTATATTTTGCAAATTGGATTTAAAGCACTTCAAAAGAGGACATTTTTAACACCTGAACACCTGTCCCTGAAACAATCCACGGTTTCTTAATTTTTCAAGAGAAAAGAATGACAGGGAATAACAGTAATTCTGTTGGGAAACACAATTTAGAGCACATACATGCACGTGTGCTTGCACAGACTTACACTCACATGCATAAAGCATCAGAAGAAAATGGTTTGATGAAATAACTACAAATTAAAAGTGACAATACTTACCAGCCAGAGCTGCAGTCATCTGCTCATAAGTTGGTTCTGGGTGGTTTCTTAACAAAGTGTATATGGACATCACCATTCCAGGGGTACAGAAACCACACTGGGAGCCATGGCACTTAGCAAGCCTTTCCTAAAACGAAACACCACAAACAGCACTGTTTTCAGTGTACTTTGCCTTTCTATCAAATTTTCATAAACAAGAAAGCCATAGTAAATGCTGTCTTGAAACTAATTGTGAACTAAGGAAAACGATTTAAACATTGTCAAATAATTATTTGGGGTATGATGCCCCAGCACATATTACCAAGGAAATTAACTAACCTTCAGTAGTCTTCCGTCTCTTTTACATCACAGAAAGGGCATTGTCCAAGATGCGCCATTAGCCCAAGTGGCACAGATCTTAAGTACTATTTGATCAGGATGTCAGTATTACAACAAGGGCTATCACCAGCCACAAATCATCACTCTTGATGAAACAACCAACAATTAGAAATTTGTGTTGCCTTCTGTTATCATTTAGCAGGAAGAATAATCGAAACACGAAACTCCCATGCCCAAAAAACACTGTCACTACAGACAGTCTATACAAAGAAAGAAATCAATCCTCTTCTTACATAGTGATACTGTATTCTCACCTGAACTGGATGAATTCTGGTTCTTGTACTTCCAACACCTTCCACTGTGGTGACTGCCATACCATGCAAGGAGCAAATGGGAAGCAAGCATGCATTTGCTGAGTAGTGTCTTTGGAACATTAAGGTGAATAAAGGCGAATATTATTTTGCAGTAAATCAAGATTTTATACTTACTAGGCAATCATTGCCATCATTTGGAAAGAGAGGAGACTAAGGCATTATAGAAGAGTTTCCTTACTAGCTGCATCTCTCGTCCCCAAGCTGAATAAACAAGGGCATAATATTGATAGCTGTGGAGAATTTTTTTCTTCCTTAATACTTCAGTCTTTTTCTAATGGTCCTCTCATCAATCCTACCCATAAGCACCTTTCAAGTGTGTTTTGGAAGAGGAAAGTGGGGAAAGTTGGTGTAGTTCTCTGTAGGAAGCAAGTCCCCTGCTGATAAACTGAAATTCAAATTTCTGATCCAAAGGAATTCTAATTTAAGACGAAAAAAAATATATATATATATCATTCTAAGTAGGAACAATGTGTCAAAAAGAAAATTCTGGAAAGCTTCTCATCGTTAACAATAAAATGTTTTGTTTCACAAGAGTTTAAAAGTTTACTTTTGGCTGAGTCATTCTGGTTCTTCTAATGTCAACTCTTATAATAACATTAAACATTTAATTTCTATTGTACTCCGATGGAATGCAATTGTCTAAAGGAACAACTAGCACATTTTGATCTCCCCCCCCTCTAAAAAACATTCAATTAGCAATGACGTTACCATTTAACAATTTCACTGAACTTTTCCCAATTTAAAAGTAACTTATTCCCACATTCAGTTTAATGACAAAACTAGCAGACATAATCTATTAGCACTGCAAGGCTCAAAGTCCTTTTTCGGAAAGGACAGAAAGCAGTGTTAGAAGGCTGGGTTGATCCACCTCCTGCTTTTGGCTACCCTATCCTCACACAGTGAGACAAAACTGCTAAGAGAAGCAATGTTCCAGTGTAAATACAAAAGATGTTAAATTAATTCTCCTAAAGAGAGAACTTCTCACTGCAGCTATCAGCATATATGAGTAAACAAAGCATTTCAGCGTAACATATTAGCAAACAAATGGCACAGTTGAATTAATAGAATTTTTTACAGTAACCTTCTTCAGATTAAATTAACTCTTCCTTGGGAGTACTTTACTAATTAGTGCAGGTTTTACAACTGCATTTTTACAGTTCCATATGTTCATGCCTGGAAACTGTATCCACAGTCATAAACCACAGCATAGAGCTTTCCAGACTTTTTGTTAAGGATACCGTATCTTCTTAGCAGCTGGCTCGTAAGTTGATATCATCACTGTGCAGGCACCACAGCCACCTCCTCCACAGCCATACTTAGTTCCTGTAAGACGGACTGAAATTCCACTATTAGGGAAAAAAAGTTTTATTTCTGCTTTTATTCTGTTATAAAGACTGAGGACCATCTTTTTTCATAAATTTTGATGAAATACATAATTGGTTACGTTCAATAGCACAAATATTGTGTTGCTTTCTTTACTGGAATATAATTTTTAGCAAAAAAAAAAAAAAAAGACTGAAGCTAAGGAATGATGCAATCAAAATCCAGTTTTCAAGGAAGCAGGAAACTCAATTCTTTTTGGCAAAGAGTAAGCTGGGACAGAAACAAGAATTAAACAAGTTTCACAATAATTTTACCTCAGGAGACTGAAACTAATGCTTCAATTTTTCCCCAGAAGTGCCACTGGAAAAGGAAGGCCCATTTATAGTCAAAATTAGCTGTCCTCCTACCCATTTTATCTCATGCATGGAAATTTGTTGTGAAAAAAATCAGTACCTCAATCTGGCTGAGTGGTTTTAGACACAATTGTGCAGGCACATCTCAGGGAATGGCACACTATCGTACAGACATAAGCAACAAAATGCAGGAATACTCTAAGTTGATATCTGAACTGTAAAGTAAAACCATCAACTAGGTCCTGAAAACAAATTAATCTTACCCCCATTTTAAAGACAGACTACAAAGATATAACAAGGTCAGATGAGTCTTCGAAGAGCCAGATAAAGTCAGCGCAATATTGTATATGGGACACTCACCAATGTGCTTTAACCAATGAAGTACAACTCTTGTGGTAAAGTTGATATGGAGCTACGTTTTTTAGTTCAACAGAGTCTGAACTTGCTCAGATTACTGAAGAATAATTTCTTAAGTACCAGAACTACAGAAACTTACTCTTCTTCAGGCTCTCCCCACAACTGAGAAGTAATGAAATGTTCCAATTCAAGTTTTTCTTTTGAGACATTTATAAAAACTCTCTGTCGTGTGAATTCTCTAGTGTATGGTATCTATCATTTTGTTCTTCAGGGATGTGTTTGATGAGACAGCCTAGGAAGCTAACAGCTGAGAGCAGACACAGTCAAACCTCTGAAGAGGTGAACAGAAAGAGAGGGAAAGATCAGAGAAAGTACTTCAGAATTTGTAACACAGAAAGCCACTGAACTGTGGACTGAAACCAAGACAGAAGACAAAATTGTCTGCAAAAAGAAAACTGGCAAATGTGAGTTCTAGTTCTTTCAAATTCTGTTTTGTTAATTATTATATTGTTTTTTTTCTGTTTTAAAAACATACTCGTTCATATTTACTTGCTATTAAAACCTGTTTGTTTTTTTGTTTGTTTGTTTTGAGTTTAGAAATCTGTTTGGAACACTTAGAAGAAAATTTATTACAAAATTGGAACAGATTTAGGCCATCATCACAAGGTATTTCTTCTTTCTAGGGAGAGAGACTTTTTACAAAACTTGGAGACAAATATGTTGTTAAATTTTATTCATACTGGCCAAAAGTTTTTTAGGAACAGACAGATAGATAAACACATGTAACTTGTGCCTAATAGGATAGCTTGTTTGTTTAGGAAACTAGGCTGAAAACACAGCAGCTCATTGAAGAGCATTTGACTTAAGAACATCATACTGTTTAATACAGCTATTTTACCTTAAGGAAGTCACAGGTTCTTTAACCTGGAAAACAGCGCTTTAATTATCACTTACAAGAATTCTACTTGAAGAAGGCTTTCAACTAAGTGACTGGAAGGAAAAATGATCAAGAAAAGGATACGTCTCTTTCGCAGATAAAACAGCAGCATCTGTTCAGGATCGGCATTTTTCTCTACTATCTGCAGTAAAAAAAGACAAGCATACTTCAAGAAAGTAGAGCTTTTCAAAATTCAGGACATGAGTTACACTCCTACAAAACCAGAACAAAAACATTCTCTGGTTCACTCTCATAGGACTACTTGTATTGCCAAAGCCCACAGATTCCTTCATAGACAGATACGTATTCTGTCAGGTTGTACTAAAAATAAATGCTGCTCACTGAAAGGTCGTACTGAGGGAACTAAACTTCAATCACATTAGAAATAAAAATGCAACAGGATTTTGCCACAATAGAGATAGCACAGCATAACAAATTAATCATTTGCAGATTTTAGAGTCTCTCTGGCACTTTAACCCACTAGGATGAACACCAGAGGAAGCCTCTAAGGCTGCCAAGAGGAATTTTTCTCTAGTTTTGTTTATAGAAATTTTCACTTATCTTACTAGGCTAACAACTAGAGCAATAAAAATGCCCACATTTATGTCTCCGTTACAGAGAGTCTTATTCCTTAGGATTTCTTATTGCTTAGAATCAGCTAGTTCCTCGCAGTTGCGTTTAATCAGTAACAAGCTTTGGTTTGCTCTTGCAGTATTATCTTTAGAACAGCCCAGATTTTGGCACTTGAACCTTGCTAACAACTTTCGTTCCTACGTAATTTTCTTCTCCAATAACCACTGAAGATGAGAAGCCAGACACATACAAGCAAAAAAACTAGTTAATTCATCAGCCAACTGAAAGTTCACTTCATTTTGATACTCCCCCTCCCAAACTCAGCAGAACTAGCTAAAACAGGATGATTTAAGAAACAGTTGTCTTCCTCCGATGCTTCTCCCTTTCTTACAGTACTTGTAATGCAAGAGAACTAACTAACCGTAACAATACTAGCTGACTGATTCACATTCCAAAGACTTTCGAAGGATTCAATTACGGGTTCCCAAGGACGAAATCTAAGAAAACTAGATCCTATCTGTGCCCACGCCTTTCGGGGCTACTTGTGAAACAGCAGTTACCCTTCCTTCAAACTCCCTCCCAGCGACACTTACCTTTCTGCCATTGACATAGAAAACCAACTCCGCAGCCCCTACCGCCCCTTGCAGAGACATCGCGTCCCAACGCGGAACCCTCAGGGCAGCAAACCGCAGGCAGCGGCAGCAGCAGCCGGAAAGGCCCTGCGCGAGGAGGGCGGGGCCGGGCGGCAGCGGGCAGACACCGGGCAGCGTGAGAGGCGGCTTGCGGGGCTGTGCGCTGTCAAACTCGAACAGAACCGGGTGGGTGCCCGGTGGGTTAATACTACGTGTGATTTAAATTTCCTACAGCAATGCAATTCACACGCAAGCTCCGGAATACTTTATCCTGATTAATTTCAATGTTTTGCGTTGTTTATGTGTTAAAAAATACTCGTACGTGGAGGATGCAGAAGAGGTTCTAAGGCTGCAACTGCATCCGGATTGTTCTTCCCTGAACTGTTTGGGGTCCTTCTGAGTTGCAGCATACGTACCCACAGCAGTCTGGGTTCAGGACAGATGATTGTATATAATGGTCAGATAAGAGATGGCTGTTGCAGTTACTGAACCTGTTGTACCTTTTGTTGAAGTACAAAGCTTTGTTGTTTAACAAAACAGAGCAAAACCTCTCAGGAAAATCCAGCTATTTCAGACTAATGTGAGAAGTAGAACACATTTCAGGTGTTTTAAGGATGGAGAGCTTACTGATTCCTCGGAGTTGACATACTCATCTATGAATGGCAGAAGAGCTGAGTAGCTTTACTTAATTAACGTTGCTTATATGACCCTGAAAGTTACAAGACACTTTTTTTCTTAATATGTGAGCTGACCGTATAATTTTTTTTTACTTTGTTCTGTTAAGGTAGCTTAAAATATTAAGACAAACCTCCCACTTTCACAAAGAGCATGTGTTCCCATAGAGCAAAATGAACTGAGTGAACTGCTAGTACTTTCTATGAGGCCTGCTCTGAAAAATAATGCCTCCTATTTTCTCATGATGGCTCACAGTGTCAGAGGTGGATGTTAGCAGTATGGCAGTAGAGGTTGAACCTCCCCACCAGTATCCCATCTCACACTGTTGTGTGTGACAGAGGCAGCAGAGGGGCAGTCTGACAAAATGGTGTCTCATGTGGAAGTGTGGATGAAGCAAAGGTGTGTCACTGGATTCCTCTATGTGGAGAAAATGGCACCCACTGACATTCATCGATGCTTGCTGAAAGTTTAGAGAGACCAAGCAGAGGAACTGAGCACAGCAAGGCAAGGGTGACACATTCCAGTGGTGGCAACAGTGGGTCACCTCTGCTGTTGCAAGCTTTCATGAGCACAGCATGCAGCCTCTTGCTGGAAAATAATGTTTTGTAGCTGAGAATTTCCTCTATTAAATAGTATTGTTGTGCTTTTTGTTAGAGTTCTGAAAGAATTAAACTGGAAGCATTAATTTTGGAGCCACCTATGTAACAGTTTAGTCTCCAAAGTAATTCTGAATTGTGGTTAAACTCAGCAAATTAATGATCGTAGGCCCTGTGGAAATTTTGCATAAATTTCTGCTCACAAAATATTCTTCATTAGCTTCAAGACAAATTCTAAGCATTTATAAGGACTACTTAAACAGTGATTCTATAACCCATAGCTGTGCAAGCATATTGTGTTAAAGTTTTAAAGAAAATTACTTCAAACTAAATATTTCAGTGATAAATGAAAATATTAAATATATATTTAAAAGTAATTGCATAAATATGAGGAAAAAAAAAACCAACTTTGATGCCACAAAAAGAAGTCCAAAGTACCTTATCCTCAAAAAAAAAAAAAAAAAAAAAAAAAATCTTAATCCCTGTGACAGCCGTGCAATTTTATCTGGAATATTCTGAGCTGTTTTTACATCAGTTTTTCCTTGCAAGAGCTTCCAGTGTACTAGTAGATCTGGTGAACAAACCACACTTAGTGAAGATTCAGCACTAAGCAGGTGTTCCAGCTTTTCTTACGCAGTGCTTCAAGTGGCCATTTTATAGAATAAGCAAAATAAGTAGACCTTAGATATTAAGAGTAAATGTTATCTCTGTGTGTAGCATCATCTTGAGCATCTTGAGCAACAAAAGTAAGGATGGATAACAATGGAACATGTGCTGTAATAACAGTGATGTGATTTCAGAGGTACATAAATTAACTTCTCCCTTCTCTCAGGTCACATTCTTTATCCTTTCATACTCTGAAAGATATCTATACTTAATGCAAGTTGAAGAAGGTAAGGCATAAAGTCCAGGTTTTACAGCTTGATTTAAAACTGCCTGAAACACAACAGCAGCCTAACTGGTAGTAACAGAGGCAGTGTTGAACAGCAGGAACGTCACTGAAAAAATAACTAAGACTATCTCCAAAAAATCCTTTTTTTTCCCCCCAAGAAAAGAAACCTCGACTTCTGTTTTTAGTTTTCAAACCATAGGCAATAGAGAGAAATAGCCATTTAGGACAAGCAAATGAAATTACTGTGTTTCGCTGCTGCAGTGCCAGTATGGGGAATACAAGTTGTAACAGATGCTTCTTTTGGATTTCTAATGATGCAGCTAGCGATGTTGATACGTGAAGAAGTGTATAGCAGTGTATGTAGTTTTTTTTTTTAAATAGTATTGGATCAAGATAGAATCTATGTTTCCATCCATTACCTCACCTCTTCATAATGATTTTACCAGTGTAGCGACATGCAAAGTGCACTTCAGAAAGAAAAAGACTGCTGAGAATCCTGCCAAGAACCTTACTGAAGGAGAGGTAAAAAAACATTCACTGCTGTCCCCTCACTCACCACGCTAATGGTCACATTGTAGAAGGTTATCAGCTCAATCAGGTATGATCTTCCCTTTGTAAATCCATGCTGACTATTCTCAAACACTTTGTCTTTCAAATATACAGAAACCAGGATTTTCTCACTTACCCAGGTTACTGTGCTAGAAGAGCTACAATGAAGTACAAAGGGTACTGATTTTTGGGTTTTTTTCAACTTTATAAATACAAGAGTACCAATTACATATCAAAGGTTACCAGATCAAAGGTCTAGCTTACTGTAGAACTGCTCAGTCTGTGAAGGGTTTCAAGAGTGAATAACCTTAAAAACAGCATTTCCAGTAATTCCTCATGGATTTTTCTTCCATTAATTTGTCTGATTAATACTGTGTTAAGAATCACTTTATTTGTGTCTCATTAAAAATGAGATAAAATGATCTTGGTTCCAAAACGAATCTGAACCCTACCCAAAATAATCCATAGAGATTATGGGGGTTGTGAGCTACAGTTTGCAGCTGGCAGCATTTAGAACTTAGATATCACCGAAAAGTTGTTTGTCTCATGACAAGGCACAACAGAATGCAGAAGTGACTGATGAGGGTACAGAGGGGAAATGGTCTAAAAACTGATAGCTGAGTGCTATGGCATGGTTGTAGTATTTGTCACAGTAGCACAGTTTCAACTGGAAACTCAAAGCATTGCTACGAGCATTGCCTATGAGCCATATGTATGATACTGGGTTTCTTTCAACAATTCCTAAAAATGAGATCTCCTCATATATTGCTATAATATTGCTATAGCAACAATAGCAATATTTGCAATAAACAAAAAACCAACCAAAACAAACCAAAGAAAAATGAACCACACCCAAGGCTCTCTGCACCTATATTTAGGATGCTTATATCTGCTCCAGCTAGCACTGATAAATTACTCTGCTCATAGTATATACAAAGAAATCACAGTAATTCCCAAACGTGATTGTTTTTAATTCTCATTAAAACTTACACTTTTCTTACAAGTTAATAAGTGCTGCAAATACTTTGAAAAGATTATGAACTACTGAGCAAAAATTCAGAACACGAGACTGGATCCTAACCTGAATTTGCTTTCTCTAGTGAAGAGTTCTATGTCCTTTGTGTTGTGGGTCTTTTCTGAGAAATTCCATTTTGCAGTCTTTGTTTTCTGTTTATCTATTGAAGAACAATAAGCATCCTATACTACTAAACTATAGTTTTTTGGAAAAAAAAAAAAAAAAAAAAAAGTACCATTTCAGAAGCGCTGTTCATAAAGGCAATTCTCTTGTCTTCTTCAAATAAATTTTGATTTACTTTTAAAGCTTCTTTTCTTTTTTACTTTATAGACTGGGGAATGCAGGAACTGTGTATCTGTAAACTGATCCCCACGTCTTAATTTTCTGTGAATAAAAGAAATAGAAAATATCATGTGAATGCCACCATATGTCTATATAATTATAATAACAATTGCAAGTGCTAAATAATCCCGCTGAAAGTTAGATACATTAAAGAACTTAATTTTATGGAAAACAAATATGATTGAATTAGCAAAGCATAGATAACATTCTTTTTGAAAATAATGCTACAAATCATAGTCATGTAATTGAAATTCTCAAGTGAATTCCAATTTTTTTTTCCTATTTTTGCTTTATTGTCTCTCTCCAGAAATACAAAACGTAATCATCCAAAGGAGAATGTGTCAGTGGCCATATTATCACAGCATCAATTTAGCATCCAATTAAAATCAGTAAAGCAAAAATGCAACTATAGTCCCCCCCCTTTTTTCTTTCTTTTTTTTTTTTTTTTTGTAATTTTACAAACACAATTTCATAAATACTTCTGAAAAACAAACAAGCAAATGTTGATAAAATTATAGACAGTTCTTACTTTGCTTTTAGCTTCTATCTGTCTTCAACCTCAGTGCCTCAGTTAATTATTTGCTTGTTTACCAAGGGAAACAAAAATATTTTGAGGGTGTATGGAAATACTGTGTGAAATATTCAGTTTGTGGTTTTATTTTCTTCTCCCCTCATTTTCACCAACATATTCCCTTCTGCACCTGACTTGTAAAATAAGTACCTATAACCCTTTAATTCTCCAGACCATAATGGGAAAATCTCAATAGTCTTTAGCTCCTGAGTATGCAGTCTATCAATACACATATAATAGAAGATATTTTTTCCTTAGATTAGGATTGAAAAAAACAACAACAACCAAAAAGTGGTGGCTAAAGCTGTCTGAATATGTTCAGGAGTTATCTTCAACTTAACGGTCCATTGAGATTTAGGTCTACAGGTACACCATTTGTACAAATATGCTGATTTTATTAATGGATGTTTGAAATCCTCTTTTAATTTTTAATAGCTATGGCAATCTCTGCCATATCTT